GCAACTGGGAATGGAAGCTACGTGTTTGAAATGTCCTGCTTACAGGAGACATGATGCACATGTTGCACGCAGCTGAGTTCTGTTTGCTTATCTAAACTCATGAGGCCTCTTGAGGTTCCCATCAACAGATCTGCACCTGCACTTTTACCCATGACCCTGCCTATTTGAAAGATTCACCCCCCAAACCCCTGCAGGTCAGAATCTGGACAACCTTCACTCCCTGCCAACACTGTCGCAGCTGAAGCAATACAAAGGGCAGCAACAGATTCCTGTTTGTGTTGCTGTGATAAAGGTGACGGGATCCACCCATGGGTCAAACCTAAGGGTGCTGATCCACTGACTCTGATCAGGATGCCATCTTTTATAGATATTTCAAGGTTTATAAAAAGCTTTTCTTATTATTCTTAACATTATTTAATCAGATCCTTTGAGTTTTTAGGAAGTTGTTTAAATGACGTGCACTCACTGTGGACTGATCCCATCTTGTTGGTCATAGCATATCTGATCAGCTCGTTCTGGTCATCGAACCACACAAAGATCTGGTCCACACTGAGCTGCTGGGTGGTCCTGAGGTCCTCGCTGTGTGGGCAGCTCTGGAAAGTGATGGTCTGACGCCACTGGTAGCTTCTGGTGTCCACGGTTCCATCAGGCAAAGTGATAGTGTATTCACGGTTGGAGGAGGAGGTGATCACTGGGAGGAGGGGGTGGGGAGAATGAAAATGAAAACCATAGCACAACGGCAACTCTCCTTCTTCATACGCTTTTAGTTTGTTTGCTCACAGTCGCGGTCGTATTGGTAGATCTCCTTGTACGGGCTGATGTGGACGGAGGATCCCAGTGGGACTGTGGGCAGGTGTCCCTCCACCTCGGTGTTTACTACCAGGTGTTCGTGTTCGTCAATTCCTACGAACTGCTGCCGGATGTTCAGACGCTCATTCCCTGGATAAAAAATTACCTCAGCCTGTCGGGAAAACACTGCACCTGTGAAGGAAAAACACCAGGAATATTGGTTAAATGGTACACTAAGAAATAGGCTACCAGGCAGTAACATAATTTGTTAGGCAATCTGTGAGACAAACTGGTACTAAACCTAGTAATTAAACTGACACACAAACTGGAAGATAAACTAGAAGGTTAAACTGTCGGGTTAAACGCCATGTAAACTGCTACATTAATCCAACCCATAAACCAGTAGGTAAACTGGTATGTTAACTTATGGGTAACCTGACACTACTAACCTGGTATGTAAAATAGTACATATTATAACATTATACATAGTATAACAGATACATAGAGTGGTACGTCAAAGAGAACAGATAATTTGCTAACTAATGTAATGGGTAAACCAGTACAAAAACATGCATCTTACCAGGTGGTAAACTGGTATGATAACTGGTGTGTAACTGGTATATTACTACTAGGGCAACTATTATATAAGCATGGACTAAATATGGATTGGTTTTGGATGCAGAAAACCTGGTCCACTGGTTCCTACCGATCAGACTGAAGCCATTTTTGTAGCCGCGCTGCTCCAGAGCAAAGGCCCAGCCGATGACTCCTCCCAGGGAGGACAAAGGTTGCAGTGATGGCCCCACACTCTTGGGAATGTTACTGATGGCCACGTAGGCTCGTCCATCGTTGACCACCACATAGGAGTGCAGGTCATTGTTGCTAAGCTCAACCGGTGTAGCACCCACAAACAAACGACCATTCAACTTTCCGTTCATCCTCTGGGGTTTGCCTGAAATCAGACATTATTGTACAGTAATGAGTATAACTGAGCACAGGTTCAGTCAGACGGAGACATCCCGCAACAACAGTAACAAGGACAATTTTAAAATTCACTCAAAGAGAAAAGACTTTGAAAAGAAGTTTGTCTGAAGGGTCTTCTTACCATCTGGAACACAGTCCTTCCCATTGCCGTAGTAGCCAGGCCTACAGTGGCAGCAGTAGCCAGTGCTGTAATCCCGGCAGTCAGCAAACACGGAGCACTTGTGTTTGTTGTCAACACACTTCTCCGAACTGTAGGCAAATACTGCAAAAAAAAATCATCGAAGTAGGAATCAGATGAAAAACAAATGGAAGACGAAATGTGGTCTAGAGTCTGAATGTTTACCGTTAACATTCAGATCTTCGTCTTCATCCACCACGACGATCTGGGGCTGCTGTGGCTGGGACTGGCCTGGCACTGGTTGAAATGGTTCAGGTATAATGTATCGTGATTGGTCTGAATCGGTGTTAGGTGATTCTGGTGCAACTGGATGATATTTGGGTTCATTCAAACCAGGGCTGATGTATCGTGGCTGGACCAGATCAGGTGTAGGGTATTCTGGCTCCACCGGGGTGTATTCAGGGTCAGTGGGTGAAGGGCTGGTGTATCCTGGTTGGACAAGGTCAGGGTCATGATTCTCAGGCTGGACTGAAGGGGATTTAGCATCCGTTGATTGAGTACTGTTATAAATTGGTTGTATCAGATCAAGGTCGGGGTACTCCGGCTGGACTGAAGAGTACTGGGCTTCGTTTGGTTCAGGGGTGGTATATTGTGTTTGGACCAGGTCAGGCTTCTCCGGTTGGACAGAAGAGTACTGGGCTTCGTTTGGTTCAGGGCTGGTGTACTGTGGTCTGAAGACGGGGTCTTTGGTTTCAGTTTGGTAAGGATATGAGGACTCAGTGTGGCCAAGGTAAACCACATCTGTCTCTTTCATTGTACTGTAAGTTGGTGTCACAGTGTCCAGTTCTGGGTCTTCAGTCCTAAACAGACCTGGCTCCTCTGTCTCTGGTGTGGTGTACCATGGTGTGATGGTCTCTGAGTCCTGGTACGTGGTCGGATATTCAGTGGGAGCTACTGCTGTTTGAGTCTGGTACTTTAAGGAGGTGGTCTCAGTTTCTTGTAATCCTGGTGGGACTGTGACTAGAGACTCAGTCGTAGCCCCTCCCTCCAGAGGAACTATTCCTGGAATAATGGCAGCAAAGAGCCGTGAAGGACCCACCTCAAACACCCAGACTCCTCTTCGTCCAGAGTTGGTCTTCCTGTTTACAAGAGGGTAGCAATAAAATAAACAATTGAAGGCATATCATCAAAGTTAGAGGTTGTCAGCGTTGGTGGAATTCCAGTTGGGCCTCGAGGCTTTTTGCTAAATGTACTTGACATGTACTTGGTTGGGTTGTTTTTTTTTTAGGATAGTTCAGAACCCCTGGACTAGGAGACACAACTCCATTAGATTCGGTTCACATTTACATTGTCTTTTCAAACTGGGCCCAACTGCAACATCACACACTTACTGACCCGACCATAAGGAACCATCATGTATGACCTGAATATGTGCTACATTAATCAGTGCCTGCACTTTCTGCTATTATACATCTGCCTAAAAGACCTTTTTCTTTCTTTTTCCTTCTTTACCTTTGACTTTTTAATTTGCTCTTTAAGCGCTCTTTTTTTAATCTACACCCAATTCACTTAAATTTGCTGGTTTGGTCCCCACCAGGTTTTGTGTCAGTTTTTATAATTGCCCAAACAAACAAAGCAGACTGTCAGAGAAAATAAACTCTGGTCATTTTAAAGTGGAAGAAAACAACAAGTGTCAGCAAGTTCTTACTGAGTAAGTGCCCTGACAGACGCCTCATCATCAGTGGTCGTCTGGAAGTACGTCCCCTGTGAGCTTTTGAACCATCCTTTCACAACACCTTCATTAAAGCCAGCTTCAAGAACTTTGTGCTCGCCCCCAATTGATGTAGAAAGGAACTGCAGGCCGTCAGTGGGATAAAGGAGAATGGCACAGGCGGAGGATGTCATGAAGGCCACAACCAGTTGGAAGGTGTTTCTCTGGGGGTACAAGCAGGACTTTGTTGAGCTGCACATCTACAGTATGTTCTTCTTAGTTCTTCATAGTTATTCTTAAGCTATTCTTTAAGCTTTTCTTAAACAGAACTGGGTATTTATAACAGAACTTGTACAGTTTGACAGCTTTTGCCTACCTTTCAGTGTTTTCCATTTTACATCCTTCTTTTGATCAAAGGGTCAGGTCATAAATGGCTAACCTTTGCCTATCTGTATTTAGCTAAAACCAAAATTTAATTTGAAACCACTTTACTTCAAAGTAGTTTAAAGTATTTGCATTAAATCTCTACAAGAATAAGAAAATCTCTTATGTAGATATCAGGATATGAAATATATAGAAGGGTCTAATGTGTCTAACCTTGACATCCAGACCATCCCCTCGTCCTGTGCTCCCCTGGGCGGCCATGTTGACCCAGGTGACAACAAGGACACTGTGGGGTGCTGCTTCTTCGTCTGTAGGAAAGGCTTGACTGATGTGCAGGCTGGCTCGTCTGAGGACGTCCACATTGCTGTCCACCCTGTAGAAAACGTGCCCCTGTCCATCAGAATTGTCCAGGTCTCCCAGCAAGGCGGCAATCATTGCGAAAGTGGACGGCATCTTGCCGAGGTAGTCAGCCTCTGCAGGGGGTTTGACGACTGACACAAATCCATTAGTGTTGATCTGTAACAGAAGAAGAGCCGAAAGTTTTCATTTATAATGTTTTAAAAGGGAAGATGGGAAATAGTTTCATTTATAATGTTTTAAAAGGGAAGGTGGGAAACAGTATTTCTTTTAGGCCAACTTTAATCTAAGCTTTGGCGGTTCTCTATCCTGTGGTTGAATTTAAGTTTAATATTGTTGAATATTTGCCAATTTGCCTATTGGCTCTACTTTGGGTCATTTTTGGTTAATCTCTGTCGATCTAACCACAAATATTTGCTTTCTGTCCTTTTATTGAGTTATATTTACAACAATCTTTGACTTGAATTGATCATTTGTTACTTAGTCATATTTGGTTAATCTGGTTATTTGTTGCTACTCTGCTATTGAACGAAAGGTCTTTAGCTTTTTGGCAGTGTTGAATATTTGTGGCCAACTGTAACTTTTTTTTGGCAGCTGAAAAATGTATAAGTGAGAGTCCAGAGAGAAACTGCAGCCAGTGTTCTGGGTCCTGCACAATAACGCCACTTTCAGTGGGAAGAATGGCATCTTTTCAACTTCTGTAAAATCTGCCTGAAAAAGAAGGCGAGAAAATGCCATGGATTTTATAGATGGAGCATAAAAATCAAGACTGTCCCTTTGTCTGAATATCTGTGTGTGTGGTGTGAAGGCACAGGGTGTAGACGACACAGTTCATCTCCCATATCGGCTCGGTCAATCCCTGTAGAGTTCAGCAGTGAACACTTGTCTCCGACTTAAGCCGATGTAGATGTGATCAGATTGTCCTTTCATGTAGGAGTTTTTGTCCTCGTGAAGCAGAGACTGGTCCCTCTCTGACTGAGCAGAATGAAATTCTTTCGAAGGTGGAAGTGAACAGATCAAAGCTGAAACCTGAGTCTGAATCAGATGAGAGGGGTTGGTGGGCCGAAGTGTTAAAGGACAGGTGAGGAAATCACTGACAGTGAGACACTAGCAGGCTTTCACGCTCCAGTGGTTCTGTAAAACACACAGAAACACTCTGCTGTGTTTTAGCAGGAAGTGGATTGGACAATATGAAGCCTCAGATTGGTTCAAGTCAGTTAAGGCCAGTGTTTCCCAGCCTTCTTTGAGCCACAGCACACCACAAATGTTGTTGTATATGTAATGAAATATAATAATATTCTAGTTTAAATTTACTAAAAATCTACTCCTGTTTAGTTGAAGACAATGCTGATATACTGGCAGGAATTGAAGAAAAACAGTCACAAAGATCTTCTTCAACAACTTCATCTGCTGCCACATAGTGGACAAGTTTGGGACCAATTGAGTGACATTGGATAATTGAGTTTGTCAGCGACACACATCAGGTCTGAGGGAAAGGTGTAGGAGTGACAGCAGGTCCCCAAAGTCCTCAGACCTACTGACAAACACTTCCCTGAAGCTTACAGGAAGTGCAGTGTCAAACAGATGGACGGAGGACGAAGACCAGACTGATGTGCAGACGTCCCTACTGTTGATCTCCATCCTCTGTCTCTAAACACAGACTGTTTAGAGACAGAGGTGCTGTGTTTACATTTGTGATTGGAGCAGTGCCACCTGTAGCACTTCATTTTACGGAGGAAGTTTATCTACAAACTTTTTCAAATAGGGGGACACAAAAAGGGGGGTTGAGAGATAACAGGGAGGGGGACAAATGAGGGACGGTGTGTGCAAAGATAAGAGCTACTGAGCAGCAACTAGAAACGACGGGCACTGATATGGAGTCAGGTTTGGAAGACCAGGAGTGGAGGGAAATCTATGAAACAAATTAGGGAGAAGACGGACTCCCTAGTTTTAGTGAAAGGATAACACTTCCTGACCTCTGTGGAAGGGGCTTTTTTTTTTTTGACAATGCCCTGCTCAGTACGACTGGGTATGTTTGGCTCTGGGAGGCTGTTTTGATTGTCAGATTAGCTTTGTCGTTCTGATCAACCTTGTTGCGACCGCCCCACAGTTAACTTGTTGTTACATGTACCATTACATATAGTACAAACATCAAGCGTGGGGCTTTGTTGGGCTGTGAAGTACTTCCAGGCTAATGACACGTTAGCTCCAGCTCGTGAGTGTGAGCAAAGTGTTCCGATGCATTTCTACAAAAGGTGGACTGAAGTGTGACAGATAAGTAGGCAAAAGGCAAGATGGACTGACGGGAGACATTAGTGATGGACAGGAGGGACAAGTGTGAGCAGGCGGCAGTTGTGTCTCTGTGTACTGCTGCATCATCTCTTTTCCATCAACCAAATAGAAACTAAACTCTTTAGGAGAAGACAATATGCTGTGTAGGTATCTGTGCACCTCTTTAAGTGTGTGTGTGTGTGTGTGAGAGAGAGAGAGAGAGATAGAGAGAGATTTCATCACACATGTCTGTCCTCTGAGGTCATGGTTAGCAGCGTGAGAACACAGTAGGGTGAAAACGCCCTGCGGTGCCGACAGCTGTTTCTGCTGGAGGACAGATGTCCTATGTCTGTCCTACAACACTCCAGATGTTCCCACTCCACAGAGACATCGCAATGTGTCTCGAACCCCCATCACGACACAACACTGAGTGTGGAGCGTACTGTGCAAAGTGGAAATGGAAAGATGTATGTTTTAGGATTTTGAAACTGATCTATAAGAGACGAAGGACGAAGGACGGACCAGGTACGGACCAGGTACACGAGGGGACAAGAGGCTAGCAGAAAGACAGAAGGTAAAATGGGACAGAAGAACGAGAAGAAGAACGAAATACAAACACACAGGGGCCAAGATGAATCAAGAAAGGACTGAGGGAGGACGCATTTAACACAAGTATGGGACAGAGGACAGATGAGGGGACAAAGGACCAAAAATGGGAGGGATAGGTGAGAAACAGCTGATGGACAGACAATTAACTGAGAATGAAGTATAAAGACACAAGTCAGTTTTATTACTTTAACCTTATTACGTTCAGTATAATTAATAATTAATCAATTCAAATGTTTTACATATTTTCTGTGTAAGACTCATTTTCGATGCTGCCACTGAGTTTACAAGGCAACGTAGATTACTGTTGTGAATTTAAATGCATCCTCGAGGGAATGTTGGTTTGATACCAGACACCGCTGTCTGTCTGTGTGTGTGTGTGTGTGTGTGTGTGTCAGGGGTCAGATCAGAACACCGCTGTGAAAAAAGTCACATTAGTTTCTGCATGTGGTAGAAGATCACTTTAAAGGAAACCAGGTCCTGACTCCTTGTTTGTGCTGCAAGCGCCCCCTGTTGATCTAACTGCCCTGAGGAACTGAGGCTGAGTTGGAGTGTAAACAAAGCTGCCAACGGGGATGGAAGAAAAACATTATCACAACCACTTTGAATCCACATCAGATGAGGTCGTCCTACCTACTCTGGTTCAGCAAAGCTCATTAAAAAAAAAAGAAAAAGATTTTTGTCTCACAAGACAAAAGTAGCTACTGCTGCCTCGTGTGGTCGGTTTACATAACCGAGGTGCTGAAAAGAACACATTTGAACTCGTAAACGCACGCAGTTGCAGTCCATGCAGGACATTGGTGTCGGACGATGACTGGTTGAAAAAGGGCAGCCCAGGAGTGCGATAAAGCAGCGAGAGCGGCAATCTGGATTAAATGTCACATGACTTGAGGAATGCGGTTGTGTGTTTGAGTGTGTGCTCTCTGTGGTGGCCTTTGATTGCTTCACACTCATTGGTAATAACCTCACAGACACACACTACAGACGTTGTCTGTGTCACCGTGTTGTGTCAACAGATGACCTGATACAAACCCTTATCACTGTTAAACACACACACAGAGAGAGAAAGGAGCTGATGTTGAATTATTCAGATGCAAAAAGAAAATCTCCTCTTGTATAAACAAACAAACAAAACCGGAGGCCTGTTATCAGTCAAACTCAATCAAACTTGATCAGTGGCGAGGTTTTTTCTTCTCAGACTCTGAGTTGTTCTCTCCTCGACGTTCACCAAACCTCATTCAGAAAAGCTGTCGTGTCACTGTCAACTTTTCATGTCATTGTCAACAACCCGAATGTTTGTTCCACGTCTACACATAAATCAACAAAACACGCTCACAGATAGGCGCGAACCATACAGCAGCGCCCCCTGGATCAGTGTTTTTTGTCAAAACCACAAAATAGGGCATACATTCTTCCACATGATGTGATCAGACACTTCTAACGACACAGTCACAGTGATGTAGACAACCTCTAGTGGACAATATGGGAATTGTTTCTTTCTACATTTCCTTCTCATCTTTCTATTGAGCGCATTTTACACATTTCTATTGTATTTTTGTTTTACTTTATATTTCACTTGTGACGATATATATTTTCAAACAAATTTGCTGTTTTTGCGTTCAATTCTATATTTAATATTTTTTAAACTTTCATAATGTCATCTTTTGCCCAGTGAATCTGATATTTCTGCATTATATATATATATATTTAGAGTTCTGGTTTTTAACATATATAGATTAGAGTTGTTTTTTGTAGTATTTAAAGATGCAAAACTAACCATCAATGATTTGATTTCTGCATTAAAAGATTGTGACAAAAGATTGTGACAAAAATTTTAAAGCACAACGTACGTAAAAATGGACAGAAATGTAGACATTTTGACCAATTAAAGTAACGTGAGTTCACCGTTTTTGTCATATGCGTCAAATATTTAAATGCTTTCCCAAATTCTATGCTTTTCAGACAATATTTTTGACTTTTCTAAAAGTGTATTTTTATTCTTAAATGTCCTTTTCTCACACTCTACACACCTTTTTTCTACTATTGTCTATCACTTTGGAAATATGAATTAACGTGTTCTTATATATAATCTGGTGGCCAAGTTAGTTAATTAAGAATCTTATTTTGTAGATGTAACTTTTTAAGTAACTGTTGCAAGTTAGTGGACTGGGTTCTGGACTCACGTGGACTCTCTGGTGCTGGGCATTAAAAAAGAAGAAGGTTCCCTTCAGGTGCAGCTCGGTGCTGGAGTCTCCACCGGGCTGCAGCTCCTCGTCTCCGGCTTCTATTCCGAACTTGAACAGTTCCTGTCGCTCCAGAGCACGAACCCGATTAATACCTAGAATGAGACTCAGCAGGAGCAAGCAGAACCAGAACCGGTTCTGGGAGCCGCAACCCATGGTGCAAGAGCAGTAACGGCAGCAGCAGCAGGAGCAACAGAGGGAGAGGAGCGGAAAACAAGCCGGGAGACACGAGCTAAGAGTGAGAAGTGGAGCAGGAGCAGGAGGAGGTGGAAGGAGCAGGGTGGAAAGGATGGAGGGGGAGGAGTGAAGGAGCGAGAGAGGAGGAGGACATGGAACAGCAAGGAAAGGATGGAGGGGGAGGAGTGAAGGAGCGGGAGAGAAGGAATGGGTTTTTTTTTTGGTCCCTGGTTATTAGTCAATGCCACACCACTACTGACTTCTGTGGACGACTTAGGTCACGTGTTTTAATCTTAAAGATCAGAAAATCGGTCAGAATTCAAAATCGCAAAAAAAAAAGAAAAACTGCTTTTCGCAAAATTCACATTGCAACAAGTTGCTTTTGAATAATAATTAAAAAAAGCTACACCGCATCAACAGCCGTTCAAAACCACTCCTCCAGACCCTGTAACACTAGTTATCAATAAAATATTTATTTACTTAAGTAGTAGTAATGTTAGAAAATATATTGAAAACATTTACACTGTTCTATTGACATATTTATTCCCTGCATGTCACTGTAGTTTCACTGAAACAACTGCACTTGTATCTGACTGTCAGTCTCACAAATTAAATTACTTTATTTCTCCAGAAAGAACAAATTTATGAATCAATATTTTACCTTCATCCGGGTTCTTATTACTAAATATAACAAACCCCTGTTTAATTACTTGAGACAAACTCAAAGTAATTGTTTTTTCCCCCATTCAACAGCCAATCAATGAAAAAAGAATCGGAAACATTTATTAGAAACGAGCAAAAACAACACAAAGTTCGATGATCAGAAGTTATAAACAGTATATTATACATCTGTGATCATGTTTCCATTGATAAATAAAACAGTCAGTAAGGTTTGTCGTTGGCGACATTTTCTCTGGGTGTGGCCTCGGTACGTGCGGCACTCCTCGCTGCTCTCTGCAGCAGCCAGGTGGCGATGTGGATGCTGACGAAGGCTCCGCCGGCTGCCCACAGCCAGTTCTTCCTGAACCAACTCTGAGTCTTCATTCTGAAGACAAAAGCTGTGAGAAAGAACACATTCAATGAATTTTCGGTATTTCTGTAAAAATAAAAGCTAACTCTGCTACACCAAAATTATGTCAGTGATCCACTGTTCTTGTGTCTCTGTAAAGTTTGGAAACAAGAGAAACTTGTAAAATGTAGGGGAAATTCAACTGCTGGCTTTCATCACCATCTACTGGTCTATTATAAGAACTGCAGCTTGCACTCCAACTCTCATTATGTTTTCATGCTTGCACTGATGTATGGCCACTTTCATAAGGGTATTTTGTTTAATGTTGAGTCATGAAAGATTGGATTAATCTTCATAACAGCTTTCTTTGTCTGTTGTGTTGTAGATACTGGGACTCATACCTGAATCGCCTTCACTTGTTCTTGGGATCAGCAGTAGAAGAAGATGAATTCAAAACATGTGAGACGATGCCAGGCTCAAGGATGTCGTTTCTCTCTGGTTGAGCTTTCAAGGTGGACTTTATGTTGTACCAGCCCCAGTGGATAAGAACAAGACTTGTGCCCATCACAATCAAGACCTTGTTGTCCTGCCAGAACCGATGCAGACCCATGACGACAGAGCTACAAACATCAGCCAGCATGATGATTAGTAGTAAGTAGTAAACTTTTTTTAAGATCTTTGTTTTAAACTACTAACTCTCCAATAGCAAACTAACCAATTGAAATACGTGTTTAACATGATTTGTTGGTCTAATGTCGCCTAATGCAATCCCTTTGTGTTACTTAGCTTAATATCGATTTATTTTACAATGATTTCAAACACCAAATTCACCATAATAAAACCTTATCAGCGTTTAAAATTGCAAAATGTAACAGCTGATAAGGACAGTTAAACAACCCAACGTTGGTGTACTGTGGGGCAAACAGAATTCACCGTCCTTCTGCTAGAAATCTTTGTTGATGTTGAACAATTCATACATCATAAATACTAAATGAATTTGAGCTTAGATTTTTACAGTTAATGTATACAATTGCCGCTACAAGTTCTGAGACACACACTGGTCGACAATATACATAAGTCTCAGTTGCAGGTATTTAGGTGTCCACGAGAAACAAACAAGGCTCGTAAGCTATTTGTCTTCAAACCTGAGTTATTTAAATTTTGAAAATTGTACAACCACATGAACAGAACTAACCTGATGAGGCAGCTCACCTTCAGAGAACAACTTCCTCCGGCTTCTGTTGGGCGACCATGACTGAATGACTGGCCGAGCAGGGCCTGAGCAGATTAAAGGACCCAGCCCATATAGCTGTTTGGAGTAAAGGGTAATAATTTATACAGAGAATCCCCCCTCCCGCCCCCCCAAAGAACTACATATTCTATTATAAGGAAGAGTTTTGAAATATTTAACTCGAGGCTGCACTGTGGTGCGTATATTTCAGTTTGAGTTTTATAGACAGGCAGTAGCGATGGCGACTATGTAGCTCATGAGACGAGGGCGTCAGAGAAGCGATAGCAGACGTAATACGAAAGCCTTAAATCTAAACGACAAGATATTATGGTCACATTAAAAGTTACAAAAAATAAATACAATTTCGATTTTAAAATGGTAATTATATATAAGAATAAAACAAATAATGTTTTACACTAAATTATAATTTATTATTATTATTTTATATTATATATTATACCTTTAAATCGGTGCAGCAGCTCCAGTGACAGGAGGCTAAATGAACCTCAGCTCAGCTCTTCTCACAAACAGATCAGATTATCTGAGAGATAAACTTTGACCAACCCAACCTGTTGAATCTCAGCCCCAGCCCACATCTGGGTTTCACTTTCTGCTGCTAGATAAAAATATGTCAACATATGTACGTAGCATATTAATGGTTTAATTTCTTTTTCTTTCACCTAATCTTTTTTACTGCTACTACTGCTGACTATTAGTATGTAGTAGTAGTGGCTAGTACTTCGACTAACAGCAATTGCTGTGCTGTAATTTGAGCTGCATATTGAGACATTTGTTCGTTTGTTCACATTCCACACAACTGCATTCAGGTAGAACAGAAGCCTGTAATTAAAGTCAGCAGCTTTTTCTGCTAAACAGCTAATCAACTACAGCATCTTGTCTCACACTAAACTTTGCAGAAACAAAAGTAAAAAAAACCCACAAAAAAAAAAAAAAAAAACAGGAACACGTTACTAAACACACACATATTTACCTTTATTGTGGACCTGAAAAACAATCGATGTCACGGTGAAAAACAAGTAAAGAATGATAGTGACGTAGAGGATTAATGTCTGCCTTGACAAAAATGACCTTTGAGCTTTTGAGATAAAGTTTGAAAAGACACACACATATAAATATATATTTAAATATATATACTGTATATAAATATATATATATATAAAACTATTATCACAGCATTATGTGTCAATGTTAGAGTGGCAACTGTCTGATGATAAGACCTGAAACAGTTAAATAGTTGTATGATAAGTCTTTTCAAACTTTATCTCAAAAGCTCAAAGGTCATTTTTGGCAAGCATTAATTTTCAGTCATAATCTAATATACCGTATATGTATTAATAAGGATAAATACGTCGCAAAAAAAAAATATATATAATCACGAACTCGTCGACGTCTTTCTCTGACAAGCACAAGGACAAACAAAAAAAAAAAACAGTGGGCAAACATTTTTATTCTTTTTATTTTTTTTTTCAGAGAAAAACATATTCCTCCATCATGTACCGCATATTCCTTTGCGACATTCTTTCTACTGTGGTTGTGAGGTCCGTCCATTAGAGGGAGCTTCAGTGCGTAAACCAGATCCTCCTGAGTTCTTTAGATTCAGATGTTTCAGCTCAGTGTCACTCCGCAGGTGTCTTCACAACAAAAAACAAAGTTAGAGTTTTACGTTTTTGTTTGTTTTTTTCCCATTAAAAACCAGATGTCAATAGCGGACAGTTAGCTAAAATCATCCACTCAGAGCAGAAATACATGTTCGAAACACAAGGCGATTTAGCATCATTTAGCATCATTCACGACATTGTGCGTCTTCCGTCGCCTAAGCTTCAGTAAAGTTTCAAAATAAAACTAATTTTAGCCTTTATTCTGTTAGTATCGCAGTCTGAAAGACACATTATTTTGAAGAAAAAATCAGAAAGTAATAGGAAATGGGCACTAAATCAAGGTGACTTAACGGTAACTAGTTCTCGTTATTATTTGTTTGTTTTTATACATTTTGTAACATTACAAAATAGATTTTTTACTTGTAGTGAGGCAGCCTATTGTATGTATGTATTTAAATAGTTTTTGTAGCAACTGTTTGATGCTACTGACGAACATTACGTATCGTAAGTGACTTCCAGTAACACTGAATCATTAAGTGACATTTTAAATGAGTGTTTTTTTTACAACACTATCACAGTTTGTAATATTTCAAAGACCAGTAAAAACGAGGGTCATTTTAAATTGCCATTTATCAACTTCACTAGCTTTGTCAATGAGTATGTGTGCCCCCTGGTGGCTAAATACGTACCGTCCCTCTTCAACGTCGCTGATATTCTCTGGCAGTCGAACGTTAAGGGTCTCGGGCAGCAGGAAGACGGAGATACCACTGATGATTCCAGCACTAGCAAAGATCAGTGGTGGCAGGAAACCCCAGACCTCCTCCAACATAATGACCAACGGCGCTAACGAGCTTCCGATTCGACAGACAAATGAGGTGAAGCCCAGACCACACTGCCTGTCCCATAAACACAGCCTCATGTTAATGCATTATTCACAAGTATAACCAGCTAGTCACTGTGAACATGGGAGTCACCTTTTTACAAACGTCTTTACAAACTCTTTTATGAAAGCTTTTTTTTTTTTTTTTTTTTATACCTAAGAACAGTTGGGAAAAGCTCAGCAGTGTACAGGAAAGCTGTGGTGAACGCTGCCTCGGAAAAACCCTTTGCAAGAACTGCAATGCACGTCCGCAACACTGTCAACTCTGCAAGACACAAAAGTTGATACGGTTAAAGTCACCAGGAGATGCTGAGAGAGTCCAAACTAAAACTGAAACTGAAACATTATTGCAAATAACCTAAAAGTAAAGCTTATCAAGACGAGGATTGCTAAAACAGAAAAGAAATTCACATAGTTCTGGGTCCTCTAATGGTGTCTGGTACAATTACAGCTGATCCACATACAGTAACTGTAACAGGTTGTTTTTCCTCTGGCTCCTCTGATGCTCTTCTAGTCAACATATCTTCCCACTCTTATTTTAAACACCTGACATTTTTAATTTTACTCTCGGTCTGAACAGAACTCCATATTGAGGATAAAACTGATTCAACCTAAAGGTATTGCTGTGTTGATTCCAATCAGTGCTCCGGTGGTGATCAAAAACCACGCCTGGCCGTTCCTGCGGCCGATTGAGTCCAGGACAAAGAAGGTGATGATTTTAGCAGGGACCTCAATGACACTGTAGATGAAATGTGTGAGGTAGAGGTTGAGGCCAAAACCTGAAATCCTAAAGCTGATCCCGTAGTACACGAAGGCTACGGTGAACCTGAAGACACAGTAGCAGATTACAGTGAGTGTCAGAGATCCCAGTGGGTCAAACAGCATATTCCCTGAAATCTGATGCTGTACCAAAACAGTGCAGAGCAGAGGGTGATTTTCCTCAGCTGGGGGGTTTTCACCAGATCCAGGTAGGAGGCCTTTTTCTCAGATGCCACAGAAACAGTCACTTTGGCCAAAGTCTGTAATATGAAAGCTATCAACCGTAAAAAAAAAAAAAAAAAGGAAACCAAGTCACTGTAGAACCGTTCTATTGACAGGGATCACTGCTGGTCTAAAAGGAATTTATTACAGCAGAATACATTTGAATTTGCTCTCATTCCCGGGGCCTGCTTTGTCTAATTAACTTTTCTGTTTCTCCACTAGATGGCGTACTTGGTTGATGGCTGCTACTATACTAATGTACCAAGAAATTAAACAGGCAACTCACCTTAGTGTCCAGTTTGGACGAGTTTGTGTTCTTTCCATTAATGGCCGCACAGTTTACCAAATACTTCTGTGCTTCCTTCACCTTCCCTTTAACCAGCAGCCACCGAGCGGACTCAGGTATCCACCTGAACACACACACACACACACACGACCACTGGACTGTAAATCACATTACACCTAACCTGACAATATTGATATACAGTATATATATATACACAGTATGCATGACTATATTATTGGAATTACTAGACTTCTGCTTCCTCACCACCAGGAGGCAATGGCAACAATGCAGGGCGCTGTGACCGCGATCAACAGTTGTCTCCAATCCCGGATGAAGTAGGCCAGCAGTGCCAGACACATGTTACCAACGCTCCATGACAAACTGACAACAGTACCGGTGAAGGTTCGGTGCTTCACATCTGACCACTCAATAGCTACACGTCAAAAAGAACAGAGTGAGAACGTGAGACAATGATCCAGAAATTTAGAGAAGTTTATTTTTATAGCAACAAGATAAAAGTTAATCACTGGAGAATTTCCCCAAAACAGCTAAAAAGATAACGATATGCTACAGAGAAATAGCTAAAAGTATCAAAACAAGCCTTGAAATTGCTAGCTATCAACTGTATCATCAATACACTGGATGGATGGATGGATGGATGGAAGGATGGATGGATGTGTGGTTTTCTTACGCAGTGCAGCAGTGACGATGGATATCCCACTAAGCAGTGCACCAGACAGCGCTCTGGACACGGCAAACATGGTGTAGGAAGTGGAGAAGGCCGACGTGAAGCCCAGCACGGTGGAACAGACCAGAGACACAAGAAGAGTGGGCCTCCGACCTAACCTGGCACGTGAAGAAGGTAAGTAAAAGTTAAAGTAAAAAATATTCATGAGATTGGAGATATAATTAGACATTAAAGTCTACTATGTAATTTTAGTACAATACTAAAGTCCTCTGTGATTGAAATGATATCCATAACAAACTTCAACTTTCAAAGATGGTTAATCAGTTTTTGTCCACATTAATATTTACATTAATAACGTGCAGTTTTTCCCGTCCTCAAAAGTCCACAGAGGAAATCCACTGTTTTACATCCACACCAAAATCCATTTATATAACACTGACTCGCCCATAAAATCAACAGCCTGGTGTTTGGCATGTTCACAGATGTCCTTAGAGAAAATCAACAATTTTGTGTCAACGCAAATTTTTTTTTAGAGAAAATCAACAATTTTGTGTCAACATAAAAATTTTTAAAAAATTAAGAACTATTATTCAAAGGTAAAAAATAAAAAATAACACAACACAAAAGCCACTCCAAGGTCCCTAAAAAAAGCTCTAAATAAATATGGTGTTATATCATTGAGAAAAAGTTTTTCGATGTGTTTTTAAAATCACACACGTGTTGTGGATCCACTGCTGCCCTGATTAGTGAATTAGTGAATTAGTTTCTGGCTTACATGTTTGAAATACTTTCCTCATATTTGACACAAATCACAACCAAGAACTGCTGCGTTTTAACAGCAGCTAAAACGGACATTTTTCTCTATGGAGTTTGGTGCAGAAGAATAAGAGCCAAGGGTGAAGTGATTACGATCACTAAAAGTCACTGGGATCTTGTTTTTCTGCCAGAGTGGGTGTGTTTTCATGTGTGTGTGTTTGTTCGTCCCTTGACTCTAGCCACACACACACACACACACACTTTGGCATTACTTTGGGCTATTTTTTAAATAAGTTTTCCTGTTATTTGCTTAAGAAGTCACTTTATGAAAATAAAAAAAGGAAATCTTTTATGGTCATTTTCCCCAGTTTGTGCTTCAGTTTAGTTACAGCCTTTTAGGATTGGAACAAAAAACTCTGTATTTTTGTTATTGTTATTATTATTGTTATTGTATGAAGTCACTCACTTGTCCGACAGCTGTCCAAAAAAAATGCTCCCAATCATGACACCAAAGAAGAAGTACGTGGCCAGGGCCTGATTCATCCATTTGTCGTCGCACACAAGGTCCCACTGTGGAGACAGGGATTCAGGTTAGAGAGCAACCACAGACAGACCACATTTACCCCAGATCTGAACCAGAACCAGAACCAGAACCCATGTTTGAAAGTGTCAGTTTAGATTTTGTCGGCTTTATCGTGTTCATACATACTGTACCTTTGAAAAACAGATTAGTTAGTTAAACAGGTAGTTAACAGTTAGTTACACACACACACACACACAAAGTAATCATGCAAACTCCATAGAGAAAGACAATAAGTTACGGCCAGGACTCAAACTGATGATCTTCTTGCTGTAAGGCAGGATCACCGACCACCCTGCCACTGTGTGGCTCACTGAACAGATGTGGAGTTTGCAAACTACTTTCAGTCAAGTCAGTAGAGAAACAACAGGTGACACTGATATTGGACCAATCTGGTGTTGGTGAAACACTGATGTGAACACAGTACCTCAGTAGACGTGGTGGAGCTGAACTGTGAGTTGTCGTAGGACCAGCCACGGGGACACGGTGCTGTCCTGTTTCCTTGGCCCAGGTCAAAGCTCAGTGGGGGGTCATAGACCCTGCAGGAAACAAAGGAGCCGCCACCATTAAGAGGGATTCTCTGCGCCAGCAGCTCGGGGTCCAGACCCAGACCCCGGTCCTCCTCTGCACTACCCAGGGCACATCGATGAGCAGGCGTGGCAGAGATGAAGATGTGCACGAGAAAGTGTAGCGCGAGGACGGCACGAGGGACACACAGAAGGACCATGACCAGGAACTGGTACCTGGAGAAGCCCCCCACGTCGTCCAGGATCTCCTCAAACCTCATGATGGAGGGAGAAGAGGTGAGTGTCGTCCTCGTCCTTGAGGCTCCTGAGTCTGACTGAAGCAGACGACAGCATGACTGTGACGGTGTGGGACGAAGCTGAGGGAGGGACCGTACATTACTGTGTGTGTGTGTGTGTGTGTGTGTGTGTGTGTGTCTGCATGCTTGTCTTAAATTAATTGCTTGTCTTTATTTAATTAAGGTCCTCTCAAAGAAAATGCAGTTCCTTCCAAAGTCTTTCCTGAGTTGTTTTTTTTTCTCACCAACATCTTTGATCAAAGCAGCTTCATTCAGGAAACTTGTGTAATTTACTTTGGACAAAGAAATAAAATCGATTCACCAAACTCAACACATCACCAACACCAACATTTCTAACAATCAGAAGAAGATCATATCTGCAGCCTGGCAGACTGGACAGACTGGACAGACTATATTTTTAGTCAAAAGAAAATCAAACCTTTCTGTCGTAGTCTTTGCGTGTTTTGTGTGGAGGTTTTTCAACCTTCGTACTCTGGTTTCCAACCATTTCACCATATCTACAGTCGAAGTGTGAGTGTTAGGGGTTGTTGTCTTTATACGTGGCCCAGTGGTGGACTGGTGAACTCCTCGTGGTGTACCCCGTCACAGCAGCTGTGATCCTGAGAAAAACAACAAAATGTGCTATAACATATAACACATACACCGCTAATACTACAAATCCAACCTGTATACAGGGGCTACATAGTGGAGGGCCAACTGTGATACACATTTGTTGTGATCTCGTGGGCCAGATTTGGCCCAGGTTTGACACGTGTGGTCTAGTCTGATGAAGATAAGAGAATTATAAAAGAAAACATGAGGAACACCTTTCAGCCTGGAAAATCAGTGATAAGAGAAGAGGAGTGACCGTCAGTTCACTTCTCATGAGACCGTCACCGGATAATTTCTTCAAGGATACAGTTAACTACACAAAAGAGCTCAAAGTGAGACATATGATGTATTGTTTTATCTACAAGTAATGAGGTTCTCCACACTCTTCCTGCTGTCATCAGCTGTAAACAAATGAAAGATGCAGAAAGAGAGCAGATGAATGGAGACTGAGGAAGGTCAGCTTTCCTGTCACCAAACAGAGACTCTCTCAATGCAGAGCTCAAGTACGTGAGGAGAAGTCAGAATCTAGGTCAAAATTTGTGTCAAGTCAAGACGGGGTCTAAGATGATAGCAAAAAATGTATTCAAACCAAAGTCCTCAGAAAAAGGTGAATAAATAATATCAACTGGAGTCAGAGTTACTTTTGCTCGAGTTCAAATCCAGTCACAACTCGTCTCGTCTACATCAGGACTTTTTGTTTTCTCTTAGGTTTTTGCGTAGACCTCATGATACCCCCCGAGGTTTTCCCAAGATGTTTGACTGATGGATTGGCTCCAGCCATCCACACATGGCCGGACAGATATGTCCGGTCATGCGTGGAATTATCCATGGATCGTGGTCCTTCAGAGTTTCCTGGAATTGGACATTCAAGAGTCCTCTGACCTCAGCTACTACAGCGAAAACAAAAACCTCCACCACAGTGATGTTACAAAACAAACCGTTTGATCATGCTTTGCTGACTGTCGGCTGTTTCTGGGCTCTGTTGATTCATAATTGTATTAACTGAACTGATCCCACAGTTGGGGAATTCTTGTGTTACCAGCAGATCTGGAGGCACCGTGTATGAAGTTCCTCTGGGAATTGAACCCAGAACTACCTGTGCGCTGCTACTGAGGTGGACGTGCCCATTGTTACACGATGGATAGCAACGTGTCGTATAGCAACGACGAGCGTTTCAGTGCCTCAGTGTTTATCTTGCTAAATATATCATCCTGACTTATTGGCTAAATGGTTTATTTGTTTAGCTTTTCTTTTAGTGTACATTTTACTGCATTTCTTTTTCACTATTTCTTTGCTGGTTTAATAATCATTTTGCAAACTGTCCTAAATGTCGATGTCTCTTTTGCTAATGTTTGTCTATCTTTTCAGAGAACTTTTTGCATTTTCTTTTTTCACCTAATTATCAGCCATTTTCTTAAACTGAACACTTTCATTTACACATGCAGTCATTCCAGTTATGTGAAAACCAGTAAACAGCCATCAGATATAACCCTCACTAATGATGTTGTTTGAAAATGATTTTTTTTCCACAAACTATTACAGCCATCTGCTCCACGTGAGGAGGTGAAAAACCATGAAATAATCCATTTCAAAGGAAATGGTTTAGTGAAACAAAAGCCTCAGTCGCTTCCTGACACACTTCTGTGTGTCTGACAGGTGTGTGTGGAAACCCCCCCACCCTTACCCCTTGCCCTACTCTCGCTCTCTCTCACACACACACACACTTCTAGTGTGAAGTTTTATATTGAGTTTTTGAATCTTACATTGAGACTGAGCCTGTAGATTTAAACTGAAAAGAAGGGCTTTTGTGAGATGATCAGTGTACGTATATATATATATATATATACTGTACTTTATATATATATAATATATATGTATACTGCACTGTCTTTTCCTGGAACCTCCTCTGTTTGTTTTTGTGTTTTAAGATTCGACTCCTCCTCCTCCTCGGTGTCATTGGTACAGCCAGGTGGGACTTCTCACTTCTGTACAATGTGAAATTTGATTTGACGTTAAAAGCATTTCATTTCCCTAAATGTCAGACCTGGAACATCTGACAACTGAGTTTGTTTGTCTCTGATGGTGTAACACAGTGAGACATCACTGTTTCTTTTTCATATCTGTGAAAGTGAAAATCAGTGAGAAGATGATGGAGGAAGAGAGAGAAAACCGAGGGAAGAGGAAATCATCTTCATCGTTCACCTCAGTGATGGAATAATATAGAGAAAGAGAAGAACGAGGAGAACGAGGACGAGGAGAAGGAAGCCACCAGGAGACCAGGTGTCCTCGCACTGATGACGGTGATGCTAAAGACGAGGTTGAGGAGTCGGGAGTAGGACTCAGAGAGGAGGTTAGTGACCGTGTCCACAGTCTTTCATTTACTTTACTTCTTCTTCACAACAATGTCTACAGATATGAAATCCACTGAAAGCTGAAATGAAATTGAACTGAGCTGGAAAAAACCCACAGATCTCATCATAGAAAGAGATTACAGCACTACTTCCTTTGTGCTCAAAAACAGAACGAGGTTTTAACGACGACGGACAGCGACCTAACCACAGGCCTCGTTGGTGATGGAAACCTCTCATCATGTTGTTGGTTGTTTTTCATCAGTATTTTCCAAACTAGAGTCTACAGAGAGATCAGCAGCTTTACAGCCCAGCACACAAGAGTTGTTCATCGACAGCTTCCTTTGCCCAAATCTCTTATTTTGTAATTTTGGTGTTACATAATTTTTGCCGGGACTGTAAAAAAAAACATTCCACAGAAGGCAGCAGCATGTCATCATCACCACCACAACCTGTTATTAGAAATAGTTGTCAGAATCATATGAAGCAATAAACGTGTCCTTCAGGACTTCCTGCAATTGAGCTGATAATGATTGTTTTTTATCTTATTGTGGGGTTTTTTTTGTTATTTTCCTCCATAGAAAAATAGAAAAAAAAAACTTTTTTTCTGGTTTTACACAAAGCACGTGTAACATCTGCTGTGAATTGGTGCAATCAGTTTATAGACTTAGACTTGAACACAGGCAGACTTAGTAAAGAGACTTGATGTGATTCTTCATCTAAACACTAGGGGCGCTGTGCTGGAACTTAATCAGGATTAGATTTGGACTTGCTACTAAACACAGGTAAACACAGGTAAACACAGGTTGCAGGTGCCTTCATGGCATCCATCGAATGGAATGTGCCATGAAGGCACCTGCAACTTGAACACCAGGAGGCCGCGGGGGCGGGGGGGGTTCTAAAATGAGCGAGTTGCTCTAGTTGGTGGTTTTCTGTAGCCTCGCTGTACAGTACTTCCTTTAGCTTTTCTTTCCTCTGCTGAGGCAGCAGAGCTGCACAGATTGGCTGAGAGGCCCTGACATCAGAGCTGGTTCACAGATCTGAGTAACCGAACAACCACAACAGAACAAAGGATGATGTAAAAGACCGTTCAGTGGGTTTGCAGATATATATATATTATTGCAGAACTAAATCTATAGAAAGTACGTGCACCACACGAGCACGTCCGTGAAAAGAGACAAGACTTTGTGGCTCACTTTGACATCAAGTTGTTTTTACGAGTTTTCTGATATTTACACCGTTTAAAAATTTTATAACCATTTTTCTTCAGGACAGCCTTAAACACCGCACGCCGTCGTCTCCGGTCATCCATGTGCGTGGGCTCTCTAGTACCACGGTGGAGGCCGACTTGGTGGAGGCGCTCAGCAAGTTTGGCAGCATCTGGTAAATCATTAGAGCAGCTCAATTTAGCCTCAAATCACAGGTGTTTGAAGTAGAATCCAGTCCAATTTACTCAGTGTTTTGGTCTATTCTCACATCCCTTGTGTTTGTCTTTGTGTCCATCATCTGTACTATCAAGATTTAAGTATTTGAGTCTTAAGTATTTGAGATCATGTTCGTGCTCCTCTGTACAAGTCTGAGTCCAGTCCCAAATATCTAGTGTAAAAGTCTGTGTCTGATGGTTTACATGGTTACAGTTACAGGTTCTGTTTGTTTCTATAATTAGCTATATTGTCTATGGGATCATAACAAACAAAACAAAAAAAATCTGCAGATAAATTCATCTTTTATCTTATAAGTTGTGAGACGAATCTCACGCCTGTCTCCCTCTGCTGGTTGTCTGCAGCGACGTCATGATGATGCCGTTTAAGAATCAGGCTCTGGTGGAGTTCGACAGCCTTGAGAGCGCAGAGCGCTGCGTGGCGTATGGGACTTCCGGTGTTGTGCATGTGGCTGAGCAGCAGGTGTTCTTCAATTTCTCCACCAGCAGGAGAATCAGCAGAACGAAATACAGTCAAGATCCTGTTGGCAGAAACAAAGTCCTGCTGCTGTCGGTCCAAAACCCGCTCTACCCCATCACCACTGTGAGTCACGATCCAACTGCTGTGTCCCGTGTGACCACTGTGAGTCACGATCCAACTGCTGTGTCCCATGTGACCATCACCATCATCACCATTAGACCTCTAATGATGCATCTCTACAATTGTATCCTCTAATCTAAATAGAAAACTACAGTCGTCCCTCGCTGTATCGCGGTTCGGCTGCCGCGCCCCATATTCTTGTATTGCGATTTTTTTATCTATATCGCAGGTTTTTGCGGTAGATATAAAAAATGTAACTTTCCAACATTTTATTTTTTTGTTATAAAATAAGTATTTTCTAACCTTAGAAGGAATAAAAAAGAGTTTCTAACACATACATACAGGGTATCGCAAGAAATAACCTCTACGTACGGTTAAACGAGATATGTGAACGTTTCATGAAGTTTTTTGTTTGTTTGTTTCACGCCCTACGATGCCTCGTAGGGTGTTCGTAATGGGTTAATATACACGTAAATAATATAACTATCGCGTTTCTACATCGCGGTCTGGGAACATAACCCCCGCGATAAACAAGGGGCCACTGTATACGAAAGTACGTGAATGCTTCCTCAGCTGACGTCCTCCATGCAAATCCCTTTAACCAACTCAGATACGGTAGATTTCTTGCCGTTCAACCTTGTACATCGGTCATTGTTCAGGCAGAATTTTTCTTTTTACCAGTCTACGTTTTTTTGTTTTGTTGTGCATTTACTGTTCGAACTCCGAAGCCAGTAGTTAGGACACTTTCTCTCTCTGTCTTCCAGGACATCTTGTTCATGGCCTGCAACCCAATCAGTCCAGTCCAGCGCATTGTCATCTTTAAGCGACACGGCATCATGGCCATGGTGGAATATCCTGACTCTGTTGGTTTACTGGTTGTTACAGTGATAATGTCAAGTGATGATGTCACGTGTACTGTTCCTCATCATGGCTGTTTATCGTTAACAAGTTGCTAAACATTTATGTCAGTGTCGGACGCTCGTAAAGTCAAACTGGCCTTAAACGGAGCCGAAATCTATACTGGCTGCTGCAGGCTGAGCATCCAGTACGCCAAGGTAAACACGCACAAACAAACAAACATTTATATTATTGTGGGGGGAAAAATCACTAAGGTGACGTCCGATATTAGCATAATTATGTAATATCTCTAGGATATTATATCGGTTTTTGCTCCGATAATGAAAACCCTATAAAGCAATGCCTGACTTTAGCCAAACGACGTGTGCCCTAAAAATAGTTTTGGGGATAAACAGCTGCTTATGAAAGTGAAAGCCACTAGATGGCAGCATTGCTGCTCATTTAATTCATCTATTTTAATAATCATGGGATCCAAAGGATGTATGTAGAACCCATCGGTATCAGTTGATATCAGAAATGAACTGATTGGACGATATCTGCATATCTGACATCCCTAGTTTTAAACAATCACAGTGAGACGTTCCAAAAGTTGTATTACTATCGCAGACAGACGTGTACATTAGGGCAGTCGTCGGTCAGAGGTTCCATGGACATCAGAGTAGGACTCTGTTGAAGTGGAAAAAAACAAAACAAAGTCATTTCTACTGTGTACATTCAGCTGCAAAGGCATGGAAACATTCCACTACCTGCAGTGAGCACCTGTGCAGTGTGGGAGCCCGGCTGTGCCTGAGCGGTCGTCTCATCGAAGCCTTGTTTTGCCTGTGGAGGCCACATCAGCTCAGACTCGGTCCTGTCTCACTGTCTGGGCTGCACACGGCGGTGGTTATTGGCATGTTGTAAGGATATATAAACTGATAAATGGGCTGAAGATATAGAAAACGAATGACAAATTTGGAATGAAAGAATCCTTTCACACATACTATCACACCCCCCTCACTCAGACTTTGTTTTGTTGCCCCTGCAGCCCAAAAGGTTGAATGTCTTCTGCAATGACCACAGCAGCTGGGATTACACCAGACAGAGAGGTAACAACGTTCACGTGTGTGTGGTGTGTATCTAATCTACTGTAGTACTGTGGGTGTTTCAGAAGACAACCCTTTTTTTTTTTTTTTTTGGAACTCCACCAGACCCTAAGTTCCCGTGGTGTGTGTGTGTGTGTGTTTGTTTTCAGAGCAGGGAACGTGGACCCCACATCAGTCCATCCTAGGAGATGATCCATCTCATGTGTATGGTATTGATGAACAGCCAATCAGTGGTCATCTAGTACTAGCCCGTCTCCTCCTCAGAACATGACCTTTAACCCTGTTTTCTTTAGGTCCACGCTGCTGCCCCCTGCTGCCTGTGCCCTATGACAACAGATATAGCAGTGGTGAGGAGGTGCAGAACTCTTCCTCTGTCGTCATGGTGGGCGGTCTCCATCCCATCAAAATGAACTGCAGCCGCATCTTTAACCTTCTCTGTGTTTATGGCAATGTGGGCAAGGTGGGTATGTTAGTGTAGTGATGTTTTTATTGCTGGGTATTGGCAATTTCTACCTTCAGGAAATAATTTCAGACAGAAGTATTTATGGGTTGCAAAGTTAGAAATTACTGGATTAAAAGATTACTGGAAGCGCCAAAATTTGAATTCAACAAAACAAAGTCAATACTTGCACTGCCCAGTTTTTGTTGTACTTTCCGTACTTTTATTGTCAATTTATCGTTAAGCCCCAACAGAAGTTCATTTACTGTGTAATTGTGATGTCGGCAGGTGAAGTTTCTGAAAAGTGTTCCCTGCACTGTGCTGGTGGAGATGGGGGACAGGTACGCTGTGGACCGAGCTGTGACTCATCTCAACGACATCAAGGTGTTTGGCAACAAACTAAATGTCTGGTAAGTACCGGGTTCAACTTAAAGGGACAGTTCGGCTGTTCTTGATCTAATTTACTGACTCAACCCTAAGATCAGTGGTCACCTCTGTCGTTCCTTCTTCACCCAGTTGGTCCAAACAGCAGGTGGTCATTCCCACTCAGGTGTTCTCGCTTGATGATGGCAGCAGAAGCTACCAGGACTTTAGTCTGAGTAGAAACAATCGCTTTAGTGATCAACGTGCCAACTACAACGTCATCCAACCGCCCAGCGCTATCCTGCATTTTTACAATGCCCCGCCCACCTTTAGTCAACAACAGCTGCACCAGGTAAAATTAATAATTAATTAATTAGTTAATAATATATATATAATACCACACATATATTATTAATATTATTAATTAATTCAACAATAACACATTGGAACAATAACACAGCTGCTTTCACGGCTGAGTTGAATGAACCGTTTCTCTCTTTCTGCTCCGTCTACAGCTCTGTGAGGAGAACAGTGTTCCATCTTTTATTCGGTTCAAAGTCTTTAAGTCCAAAGGTGAGTTTCACTCTTCACCTACAGAATATTTCTATTTAACGTTGTTTAATTTGAACACCTTCTTTTCTTCTCCTTCTTTATCTCAGCCTCATCAGTGACCCCTCAGACCCAGTCAGGACTGTTAGAGTTTGACACCAGAAATGCAGCAGCGGAGACTCTGATCGTCCTGAATAATCACAGGATCACAGTAAAGAGTGAGTGTTCAGCACTGAAGAGTCAACAATAAAACAATAATCAAGACGCTCACAGCTACAAACATTGTCAATCTATTTTTTGTCTTTTCTTTGCTGACCTAAAGTTATTTTATTTATCTGTATCTGTATCATCTATAATGTAACAATTTAACAACCTAAAGTTATTTTATTTATCTGTATCATTATCATTATCTATAATATAACATTTTAACTAACTTTACACTTCACTCTGTCCTATTTTTTTTATATATTTCATGCCAATCTATGATTTCAAGTGTATCACTATATTTCATGCCAATCTATGATTTCAAGAATTTGATTGTCGAACAAACGAACATCTTGAGGACAGGAGATGTGTACCGCTGCCTGTTCTGACATCAACATCACTGTGGTTTTTCTGACCTGCAGACAGTTCCGCTCAATTCACCCTCAAACTCTGCTTCTCCACCTCCACTCATCTCTGATCCGAAGACAAAATAGCCTTCATAGGAACACCGCAGACGTGTGACTGACAGATTGGATTTGAGCCAAATACAGGAAGTAATTTTTTTTTTGAATGATGTCAGAGATTTAAATAAATTAAAGTGTTTTCTTTTTAGAAGCACAATGTTCACTGTGTTAGACAGACTTTTTTTTTTCAACCAGAATTAAAATTTGTTAGTAGCCCAGCCCCAGAAAACATTTTATGTAGATTTTACATATTTTGTATTTTTATTTAATATTTGGCAACAACTTCAGTAAAATAACATTTAATTGACCATAAGACTATAATGAACTATGAATACTTGGAAATTAAAGATGGTGTGATGGTGTTTAAGTAAAATTTTGTTTCAAAACATAGACCCAACATCAGGATAGACACTTTATCCACCAAAATTCATAGAAACCATGAGAAAAAGTCCAAATCTAGAGCTTTGAACTTCAAAGCTTTGATAAAGAATCAGCAAAAAACAAACTATTCATGTGTTTCTATTATAACTATTCATGAGTGAAGGACGAGAACACACAATGGACAAACAACAACGATGCAACAAAAGGTTTGCGAACTTCCCTAATAAAGCTTCAGATTTCTGATGCACACTGGTGAACGTAGGATGGCGCCATTGAGCTTAACACAATGGAGAAGAGATGGCTGGTTGTCTGGAAACGCTTGAGCTTTTTCTGTTTCTGCACATTGTTATATTTATTATATTTGATATTATATTTATGACGTAAAAGATGAAAGTTTGAGCTAATTTGTTTAAGTCGGACAGTAGTTAGTAGGTTCTTGGCAGCGGCTGTCCAGAGCTGAGCTGTGACGCTCAGTTTGATGGGCGTGGCCTTCGACACCCTTTTTAGCCAGCTCGTGCTTGTGACGTCAGTGCGTTTTGCTTCCGCTCCAAGAAGCGGGCCAGGAAAGATGGCGGCGGCGGTGGCCGTGGAGAACAGCGGGCTGAAGCAGCGGAATCACAATAATAGCATCTTAACCGAAGGTGAGGGGGCGCTTTCAGGGCCTGGAAACCGTGACAGAGGGGCGAATTACTTCTGCATTGTCAGTCGCGTTCCACTAATGAAAGACGTTCCACATATTTTAAATTCTTGGTATTTTAAAGGCGCTATTATTCTGTCGAACGACCGCGTCTGTCGCTTGGCGTTCTGCTGTATCGGGAGGACACTGTTGATATTGGTTGGTGACGCCGCCTCGTTGCCGTTGCCGTAGTGGTGTTAAGCAATATTGTTGTTAGCGCTCTGCTGGCACCGCGGTTCATCTCTCCCAGCTAATTGGTTACGGTCCAGGTGCAGCTGTCAAACGGTCGCCAAGCGTTGAAATGCGGCACTAAGGAAGAGATAAAAACGATTCAAAATTCGAATAATGTTATCGTCAGTGAAAAAAAAATCGTCAATAATCTTCAAATATATATAAATATAAAATCAACTGTACAGATTTCTTGTCATCGGTCTTGATACAATAGATGTTAAACCAATAACGACACCTAGTTACTATTATGAGGCTGTTACTTGTCACTAAATACGTTCTTGCCGCCTTTTGTTCCAGTTTCAGAACTTTTTAGATGCCCCTCTTTCTAATCATGATCATGTATTTTTTTCCAAGATAATACACCATTCAGTGTTAGCTGGATGATAAATGTGAGTGGATGCCATGTTGGATGTGGGTTGTATACCACCTCACGTCTGTACCACATTGTCCGGTGAGGGAGTTAAAAAAAAAAAAACCTTAAAATTGGCATCTTGCTTGAACTTCAACATTTTTAATGTTTGGATAGCACTTTTGTACCTCCCAGGCGTAGGGAAGAATGGCCTGGCAGACGATTTCTCAATGAGCCACAACATGGCAACAAGTAAATCTTGTGACTTTAGCTAAAATGGCTGAAACCCAAGTTAAACAATGGGCAATACTGACAACACTGACACGTTGTTCTCATGGGGACATTTCAGAGTTCAAGCCTTAATTTTGTATGTTGAAATAGTTAGTGTTTGATTAGAGTTTTTCTAAGGATTAAAGATTAGTCATTATTTGTAACAGTTACAATTTGGGATAAGGAGCTTGAAAATGCATCGTCTTTGTCAGTGGTGGACGAAACACAAACCTGTTTGTTCTTGTCCCAAGTTGCTCTCAGACTCTACTATAGAAAAATTCATGGTGTCATTTGAAATTTAGACAAACTTGATCTTTGGAAACTTGACAGCCGTGGCATTCACGTGCTCTTGTTAAAACGCCATGCCTGACTCTTCCTGCTGTTGCATAACATCGTGTCCTCTAGCTCACAGGTGGCAGCTCAAACATCTGAACATTCCTGTTTCTTAACATCCTTTTCGTTTTACATTTTTAGGATTTTTGGCTGCACAATCTGTCTTTAACTTCTTTTTTCCATAATCAGGGATTTTACATTACAGAAGCTGTTGATCCAAGTCTGCCTCAATAATTAAGGTCTAATGTGTTTAATTGGGTTTCTAAAAAGCTAGGGAAAACTCAAAGATACAGAAGCTAAGCTAACTCAGGAAAAACAAATTAGCTCAGGAAAAGGCTATAATTTAGCATAAATTACTTTGTATTTTCAGTGGAATTGTGGATTTCTACACCAATAAGAGAATCTGTGAGATTAGGAAATGGGCACATAGAAATTCACATTATTATTAGTAGTAGTAGGCAAATGAGAATGAAGAATTTAAAACACAGGAATCACAAAAACCTCCAAATAAGAAGCTGCCAGTCAGTGAGGACTTCAATCCCTCTCTTTCTTTTTTTGTTATAACAACAGTGAAAAGTTTTCACCGTTTTGTCTGTACAGTGAAGTGAACACTGTTGTGTCAGCTATTTGTTTTCACTGTGTCAGAACAAAGTGAAAACAAGGGCTGTTGAAATAACCGCATCAGTGCTCGGCTCCAAAACCCAACGCGGTGTCTTTCCATTTCCTACCTCTCAGGCCACCGTTTAAAAACAACTATACTTCCATCCACTTCCATACCATATTCACCTTTGCTTGCTCTTTTATTGACGACTTATGAATGCAGATAAAAACCAGATGCTTCCTGTATATCTTGTGTTTAAATAAGAAAACATGCTTCTTAGGTGTTGAATAGAGCTGAGATGTCTTGGCCCAGTGATGGGAGTCCTTTCTGCCAAACAGTAGATTCTGGGTTCATTATCACCTGCTCAACTGATTTCAAGGGAGGTCAAGTGGTCTGAAGACTACCCAATCATTTTGCGGTATACCAGTGTGGCGTCTGTGGTCTGTAGCAGGCTTCACTGCTTTGTTTAGTTCAGGGGCGTCAAACCCAGTTTGGTTTCTGGGATGTCAAGTGAGCCGGACCAGTACAATCATAACATTTTTCTATAAATAATAATCAGTCCATGTTTTCCCCATTTTTTAAATTAATTATAATATAAAGATAATTTTACAAAAAATTCCTGAACGTGAAGTGTTTTTCATCAAGCGGGTGTATTTTGGCCTGCGGGCCACATGTTTGACACCCCTGGTCTAACCTCTCCTTTTGTTATGTTGCTGTTTATACTTGCATTGTTATCATGAGCCTTTCCTGTAATCAGTGTCTATCTAATACTTACCCAATATACAATAAAGTTCACACTTGGCAAAGTCTATATTTAAATGTTGGTTTCATAATCATTCGGGGACGCAGATTCATAGCTGAGGATCAAACACGCTGCCGTAAAAGGACCAGGATGCTTTACTTTCTCCTTGGGGTTAAACAGATTCTTGGCCTGGCCTCCTGCTACAGCAGTGAGCCTCCTCAGCTCACATCTATGCTGTGCTGCTGCTGCTGTGCTTCACTAACTGGAACAGGTCAGAAAAGGAGGTCATGTTCCTCTGTCACTTATCAACACCAGACTTTGTTGATACTCTCTGGTCAAAGTCTCTCCTCTCCCTGATGGCAGCGTTCTTCATGTCTCCCTGAAGAAGTAACCAAAGGTCTCCTGCACGTCTGGACTCCTCAATTAGGCTGAGCTCTAAATATAACGCTCTCCTTCACCCAGGCCCTTGGTGTGTTTGACTCACATGTATGGAGTTAAGGGGTTAAGTGGTAAAGGGTGAAAGTGTAACCGAGGCTGCAGCGACCGTGCTTCTGAAACAACCGGACAAAATGAATTCATACTGAACTGTTTGGTACAAATACACTTGTACTGAACACTTGTGTAAAATATCTTTAAAAAATGTGTCAAGCGCAACCATGGAGTGGAACAAAATTCCAACTTCCCCCAGAAAATGATATGACAGGACCCGACCTCTGTCTGCACGGCTGGCTGGGTTGTTGTCAGATACTTTACGTTAATTAGCAGTTAGCACAGCTAAGCCGTGTATGTCAAATGGACGCTATCTCTTAGGTTTGAGCTGTTTTGGAAAACACTGGGTATTCAGGAAAGGAAATTGACTACGGCAAATAAAATGTGTCCACATGAAGTCTATCAGTTATCCCAGGATAACTTACTGGGATTAGCACTTAAGATTGAGTGTGTTTTAGAGGTATAAAAAAACAAAACATTTGACTTATCTGTTACGTATTTGTTGACAAATGGCAAGAATGTAAAGTTTCAGTTCTCTGACTTCTTAACAACATAAAACATTGTTTTTCAACTGTGTGTGTTATTTTAGTCAACCACAGGTTAAAGTTGGACACGTCTCGTAAGATGTGGCTGAAGCAGGAGCAGCAGCAGGAACAGGAGGAGGAGGAGGAGGAGCAGGATCTGCTGGAAGAAGAGAAGGAGGAGGAAGAAGAGGAGGAGTTGTGCGGTTCCAGACCCGTCCAGATCGTGGAGGCGAATGAAGAGGAGCACTCGTTCTCACTACAGGAGGAGCAGCTGGAGAGGCTGCTCCTTCAGGAGGAGGTGCGCGACCTGCACGTGGTCGTGGTGTCTGTGGCCGGAGCTTTTCGCAAGGGCAAGTCCTTCCTGCTGGACTTCATGCTGCGCTACATGTACAGAAAGGTACGAGAGGCCCGGTCAACAGAGCAGCTGGTAGTGACAGTTGGCAACAAACTAAAAAAATTTCCATAAAAGATAATTTTGGTAGTATTTTGGTATGAACAGCCACATGTGGTAACTGGAAGCCCATTTCAGCAAAAGTTGGTACACAGGGTGTCAAATGGGCTGCATACAATCTAAGAGGATGTCAAGTGGGCCGGACCAGTTAAATCATAACATAATTAACTATAAATAAGTGTTTTTTTCTCTTTAGTTTTCCTGCAGACAAGTACATTAGCTGTATATTATTATATATATATTCATATTTTATAAAATATAATTTAACAAAAATGTCCTGAACATGAAGTGTTTGTGTATTTAATTAAAAAAAAAAAATTCATCAAACAGGCCGGATTGAAAACCCTTGTGGGCCGGTTTTGGCCCCCGGGCCATATGTTTGACACCTCTGCAATAGAAACACGTTAAACTCTAGAATGCATAGAAAAAAAGGCCAGTGTAAAGAGGATTTGACCTTGGCACATAGTGAAGTGTGTGTGTGTGTGTGTGTGTGTGTGTGGTGGGGGGGGTCGACTGTGTTGCTGTTTTTTTTCCTCAGACAGAGGAGCTTATGTGTGGATTATGAAGTGTTCACGGAGGTTCAGCTGATTAACCACACACTCCGTGTAGTATTCCTGTTCAGGACCAGTGAACAATGCAAACATTCTGTCAACTCTGGTTCAGGTTTCTGACCCTGAGCAGTTTGTGAGGATTGTCATGTGGGAGAATTTCAGCCTTTATGGTGAACAACACCTTTTCCTTTATCTGTTTTTCTATGTAGCTGTAGTTTATGTTGACATTACAGTCACCGCTGACCTCATTGTGAGCGCCCCCTGATGTTACCACCGGCCAAGAAGGCTGGCTCTGAGTGAAACGTGGCTCCAAGTCATGAGAGCAGGAAAAACAGATTGACAAAAGACACTGTGTTCCTGCGCTCTTTAAAGGAATAATCCCTGATTGTGTGTCCTGTTATAACATTTTTTTTCCAAGAGGAATTCAACTCAAGACTGAAGTTGAGTTGAAGACTCAAGACTCAGCTTCAGTCTTGAGTTGAAGTTGAAGATTGGTCACACAGTTTCAGTTGTACAGTAGCCAATAATAATGACAAACTGTGCAGAAATTTCAGCTTGTTTTTCTTTTTTCTGCAGTCTAATTGGTGGCTTGGTAGTGATGAAGAACCTCTGACCGGCTTCACGTGGCGTGGAGGCTGTGAGAGGGAAACGACAGGAATCCAGGCCTGGAATGAAGTGTTTGTGGTGGAGAAACCTGACGGGAAAAAGGTCGACACTGCCGCTGCTGCTGCTGCTGCTGCTGCTGCTGTTATTTTCTAACCTCGTGTTGTAGGAGTGTTAATGACTGACTAGCTGCTGTCGCTAATGTGTGTCTGCAGGTGGCAGTTCTCCTGGTGGACACACAGGGGGCGTTTGACAGCCAGTCTACAATCAAAGATTGTGCCACGTTGTTCGCCCTCAGCACCATGACCAGCTCTGTTCAGGTTAGCGCTCAGATTCCATATTGTAGAATAAAATCAATCGTTTTAGTTTTATCTTTTTGCCTCATTTTAGGATTTTATTTTAAAAAGGTATGTTTTAAATTTTGATGAAAAAACATTAAAAATTAAATTTTATGTAGAAAACTTTAAAATGATTCTAAACCTTTTGCATGTATGAGATTGATGGTTGTTGTTTGGGTTCTTTTTATTCCAGGTCTACAATCTGTCACAGAATGTACAGGAAGACGACCTTCAGCACCTGCAGGTTAGTTTAGGAATTGAAAATTGTAGCCACTATGTAAAAACAAACAAAACTAAAAGCATAAACAGAGTTTGGATGAATACCATGGATAAATAAAAGCTAAAATAGGCAAGTTTTGCAAAAATAAATTTCACTAAATGTGGCATTTTATTTATAAACAAAAAGAAGTAGCCACATAGTAAATGTGGCATTTTATTTATAAACAAATAGAAAAACCTAAGTATTAGATAAGATGTAAAAGAAATGATGTATAAAATAAAGACCAGCAATAAAAAAGAATGGATGATAAGAGTGAAGAACTGAGGTTTGTTAAGAATTAGGTCAGCAGATAAACCAACGTACAGGCAGTAAAGCAAAAATGAATGAAAGTAAAACTAAAAGTCGGTCAAATAAACCTCGACTTCAGATGAACTAAGATTAAAGTCAGCAGATAAAAGCTAAAAACCATTGAACCACAAGACAAAAGGATGAAAGAAACTCCAGAAAATATTCCCTTTAACTTTGTTCTTCAGCTCTTTACAGAGTACGGTCGACTGGCCTTGGAGGAGGTCTACGAGAAGCCTTTCCAGGTAGGCGCTGATCACATGACCCACTTCAACGTCTCAGGTTTTTTACAACAAAAACAGTGTTTCACCATTTAAAAAAAAATGACTTCTTCATTCTAGACTCTGATGTTCCTGATCCGAGACTGGAGCTACCCGTACGAGTATTCCTACGGTCTGGAAGGTGGAAAAAAATTCCTGGACAAACGTCTGCAGGTCAGGTCTCACAGCAATAAACGTTGGAGCTTTAACTGAAAATGTTCAGTTAAAATGAAGCTCTATGACTAGTTAGATGGGTTCCTCAGATCAGTTTTTACAATTTGGCTCAGATATCAAAGAGCTGGAACAATATCCCAGGAATGACCTGGAAACCCTGGACCTAAAGTCGCTGCTGTTTGTCTTCAGGTAAAGCAAAACCAACACGAGGAGCTGCAGAACGTCAGGAAACACATCCATTCATGTTTCTCCAAAATCGGCTGCTTTCTGCTGCCACACCCGGGCCTCAAGGTGGCCACCAACCCTCACTTTGATGGCCGCCTCCATGGTTAGATGGGATGTTGAAATTGATACTGAGTTAAATCCACTGTTGAGCGTTGGGTTGATGGTTTTTACCGCTGTGTCCCAGACATTGATGAAGACTTTAAGCGGGAGCTGGTGAATCTGGTGCCTGCGCTGCTGTCTCCAGAAAACCTGGTGGAAAAAGAGATCGGAGGAGTGAAGATCACCTGCAGAGATCTGCTGCACTACTACAAGGTGAGTGACGGAGTCGCCGTTCAGAATAAAGTGTTGGCGTAACAGACAGTTTTAGTCAGGTTTGTTTGACTCAGGTCAGAAGGTCATCACAACAACAAAACAGATTGGCAGCAAAGTTGTGATGTCACTGGAAAAAAGTTTGTTTACAAAACGTTTGTGTGAGTAAAAAGTCATAGGTTTCTGAGAGTAATATTCCTTATCATATCGTATAACTTGAGAATTGTGGAGACCTCAGGTGGTCACTGTCCCCTTGCTTTTGTGTTTTGCAGGCTTACATGAAGATCTACCAGGGGGAGGAGCTTCCTCATCCCAAGTCCATGCTGCAGGTCAGTTCACATCATGAGGCGGACACTTCACAATGACATCATCAGTACAGATTATGGAGATTACTGAAACTTAAGGAGGAAGAAGGAAAAACGTTTCAAGCTTCCAGCAGGGCCCAAGGACCAACAGGGGGCGCCCAAAGTGCAGTCAGAGCGTAATGCACAGTTGTGACATTCGTTCTATGACTGTCAACACCGGGCATGATCGCAAAATGAAGGTTTTGTTTGTTTGGTTTTGAGGTTGTGGACCGTGTCCGTGTTAATCTGAGTTGTCGTCTGTTTCCAGGCCACGGCTGAAGCCAATAACCTTGTAGCTGTAGCCGGAGCCAAAGACTTGTACAACAACGGTATGAAGCAGGTAAAGAAAAGGTTGATTGATTTTTTTAAATGTATTCTACAGCCAACCTGTGTCCCTCTGGTGGAGTGAGTGGTGGTGCTTTTAAAACAAAAACATTTAACCATAGCCCTGTAACACTGTGACTACGACGCACTTTTAAAACAAAAACATTTAACCATAGGAACTCGTGCTACACTACAGGCTAATTTATAAGCCCATTTATTTCATGTTTTACTTTTAGCCTTTACTGTCCTGTAACACTGTGACTACAACGCAGCAGCTGTGTGCGCTAAGGAAGGCTAGCTAAAAAGCAAAGTGACATTAAACATTAAAAGCCGGTACATCTAAGTTCTCTGCTCCGAGTCCTGACCCATTTCCTGTTTCATGGCGTCAGATCTGTGGTGGAGACAAACCCTACATTTCTCCCGTGGAGCTGGAGCGCCGGCACCGTGAGCTGCAGCAAACGTCAGTGCGAAACTTCCGTTCGGTAAAGAAGATGGGAGGAGAGGATTTCTGCCGGCGCTACCAAGAGCAGCTGGAGGCGGAGCTGGACGAAGCCTACGTCAACTTCTGCAAGCACAATGACGGCAAGAACATCTTCCATGCGGCGCGGACGCCAGCCACACTCTGCGTCCTCATGTTCCTCACATACCTGGGCTCCATGATCACAGGGTTTGTGGGGGTCACTCTTGTGGCCATGCTGTGTAACCTTGTGATGGGGATCGCCCTGCTGGCGCTCTGCCTCTGGGCCTACACCAAATACTCTGGAGAGTACCGAGAAGTGGGCGGAGCCATTGACTGTGTGGCTGAGACGCTGTGGGAACAGGTGAGTTGTTTTGGTTTTTTTAATCTATTCTGTTTTTTGTTATGTCATCTTCATCCCTTCTTTCTCTGCCTCCTCAGCTCTTCTTTTTTCCTTCTCTCCTTCCTCGGTTCCTCTTTCTCTGACCTCTAGTTGCAGTTAACTTTTCCTCTTCTCATAATGTCTCACTTTTTCTCATCAACTTCAAACCATCATTCATTTTCTGTTGTGTCTAAACCTTTTTTTTCTAGTGTTCATTTTCTTGTTTACTTCAATCAACAGTAGTCCATCTTTCCCCATTTCTTTCTTTTAGATTTATCTTCTTTTGCCTTTATTTTCAAGATTGCGGACAAATCCACGTTTCCTCTTTTCCTAAATCCTTTCCTGTTTTCTCTCTTCCTTTTTCTGCTCTCAGAGGACTCCACGAAAGGTGAGCCTTTCTGACCCTTTCCTCATAAAGGAAATGTTTATTCTTCTGTGTTTTAATGGCAGCTTTCATGTAGCATTACTGCCCCCTAATGGCTCAATTGTGTACTTCGCCATAGAATTTCTCCAACCACATGCACAAAAGAGTCTCTACTAATAATTAGTTTTCTGTTATTTTGTGTGTGTGTGAATTACTGGTTGCAGACTTCAGGCTTTGGGAAACAAAGCTTTTAATGAAAGTGTTGACTCTCAGCCCTGACCTGTTTAACTCACTAACATGAGGTCTTATCTATGAAAATCTGTTTACAAATGTGAAGATAATTATGAAGAATCTTTTCTGATATTTTTTTTTCTGTACTTTTTCTCTACTTGAAGCTCACTTATCTGGTTTGCGTTCGTTTTCTGTCCAGGTTTTATCCAAACTGTTGGAAGTCCTTCAGAATCGTTTCAGGTTGGGGGGGCTGATGTTCATGCTGAGGCCCCACTTTACCTCCAACAACGTCAAGAAGAAAAACTAGCATCACTACATTGTAATTATTTTATTTCCACCCTCCTCCTTTGTGTCTCTCTCTATCTCTCTCTCTCTGTGAGAACAATTTTTCAAATGGAGTGTAAATTGTTTTTTCTTTTGGGCTCTAGATGAAGGTCTGTATTATAGTGTAGTGAGTGGGACTGACAGATATATATACACACACATATATATATATATAGATATAGTTGATTTGAAGGGGCCATGAATTTGTCGCTCCTCATCGTCGCAGGTGCATGGTTACCTGTTGACGCTGACGAGTACCAACACATAAGGACCACATCCACAGAAGTTCCTTTTTGACGCTCGGAAATACGCATCATGAACCAAAGTTTACAGCTGAACTTTAGACACTGACTTTTTTTTTTTTTTGCAGGATCTGATATTAGCTCAAATTGTTGTGTAACACTATTGTACAAAGTTGCAGTAAGTTCTACCTGTAGTTAACGCCTCGTGACCTGCATGTGTGTAGACACCCCGGCCTGGAGACAAGTGAATTCTAATTGGAAACCATACAGTTGCAACTCCTGACTTAGGGTAGCTCAGACAGAGGCTGTTGTGGCGCCCCCTGTAGGCGGGAGACCAAACATTCAACTTGACATTGAGAAATGCTGCTTTCTTTTTTAAATGCACAGTTATGTTGAAATTTGAACAAATGTAAACAGCACAAAGGCCTTTGATCAGTTGCCAATAGTTGGCGCTATTTAGTGCTTCTTGGCACACTCGTTTAAACAGAGGTAAACCTGGGCATAATTAGTCTTTTTTTTTTAACCCTTATTGTCATTAAGAGGTTAATTATTTTTGAACAAAATTGGGTTTTTTCCCTCTTACTTTTCGATTCAGTCATCTCAACTCCATAACAACCATAAACTGACAAACTTTATCAACAGAACTGGGCGCAACAAAATTGGGGTTGCGATTTTTTTTAATTTTTTTTTTTGGTTTTTTCTTTCCATGTTCCTGAAATTTGCATTTTTTTCGCTCAGTGAACAGACATCACATTTGTTCAATATCCTGATATTTCCCTAATGTAAAAATGTTCAAAATATTTGTTTTACATATTTTATGGGTAAACATGACAATGTAATGTGAATTGAGCCCCTTTTTATTACATTCATATTTAAGAAATTTTTAATGTGTTTTTACGCATTCATTCCTCTTCTTTTCTTTTTTTCTTTTTTGTCGAATTACACATTTTAAGGCACTTTTTTTTTTTTCTTTTTTGTCGTATTACACATTTTAAGGCTTTGCCTCATGTTGCACAGTTTGTCAATCACTAAAAACAAATTCAAACCTCAATCTTCATACAAACCTCTAGGGGGCCTCGTTTTCAAAAAGACTGAAAAATTCCAATCCTGACTTTCTGGTTGTAGCATTCTTAGCATTTAACGTCATATTGTAGAGCAGATTTGTTTTTGACGGTTTCGTTCTGTACAGTGGCATCTCTCAGACTATCACAAATACAAAGGGCATGTGTCCGAACCTATACATATATAAATACAACTTTTCTAGAGCTTTTTTTTAGCAGGAAGAGGAGCGGCTTCTTAGTCGTTCAACTCTCTAATGTAAAGGAATGCTAAAATGATTCTTTTTTTGTGGATATGTCAAATGTAATTCCTGTCTTTTCCCATATATAAAGTATGTGATTTGTAAATTTGATCTATCACGGCAAGCGATATGACACTGTCCCCTGCTGGCGAAGGATGTTTATATTTTTTGTCATCTGTTGCGTTTTAAAATAACTTTTATTTTTAGTACACAACATTGAAAGCCAAACGTCTACAACACTTAGTAATGTCTATTTCTATGTACATGTAATTTATTTTACTCTTAATTTTCTTTATTTGCATATGTCTGAAAATTATAATTAAAGAGTTACGTTTTTTTTGTTTTTGTTTTGTGGATAAGTCTCAGCACAGAACCGTTACATCGACTTTAATAACTGTACTCGCTGTAAACAACTCGTGTACACAGGTCCTGCGTAAAACTATGCCTAAATCGTAGGGATAACTTTCATTCGGAAATCTTCAGAAGTGATTAAAAGCCTCTAATAATTAATAAAAAATAACTAATAACGTTAGCCAAACTTAGCTGTTAGGCTAAGTTAGGCAGAATATTTAAAATTGTCCTTCAAACATCTAAAGAAAAAATTAGCCTTAGCAACACAGTGTAAGTACAGGTAATCAAACATTTGGAAAATGGCGGACAAAAATATTTTTTTCAAAAGAGGAAAACGTAGCTGAACAGCTAAAAGTTGTGACAGGTTAAAAACAAATAGCCAGTTCAAATGTAGCTCTATTTCTGAGAAGGTACGAGCTCATCGATGTCTCCGTTCTTCTCCAGTATCTTTTCCATGTTTACGAGAAGTTTGACGCCGTCCACCACCAGCTGAGTCAGCGCTACCTCGCTCTCGCCTGTTTTTTGTTCCGAAGATTTTCTTTATTTTTTTATTTAAAATTTAAACGCGAGGATAATATACTTTTTTAAAACCTAACATAACAGACCAAAACTTCAATAAATTGCAGTAAAAAAAAGACACCTGAACAAAAAAGGGTTGCATTGAGCCTTTATTTTCAAGATTGCGGACAAATCCACGTTTCCTCTTTTCCTAAATCCTTTCCTGTTTTCTCTCTTCCTTTTTCTGCTCTCAGAGGACTCCACGAAAGGTGAGCCTTTCTGACCCTTTCCTCATAAAGGAAATGTTTATTCTTCTGTGTTTTAATGGCAGCTTTCATGTAGCATTACTGCCCCCTAATGGCTCAATTGTGTACTTCGCCATAGAATTTCTCCAACCACATGCACAAAAGAGTCTCTACTAATAATTACTTTCTGAGTGGGTTATTTTGTGTGTGTGAATCACTGGTTGCAGACTTCAGGCTTTGGGAAACAAAGCTTTTAATGAAAGTGTTGACTCTCAGCCCTGACCTGTTTAACTCACTAACATGAGGTCTTATCTATGAAAATCTGTTTACAAATGTGAAGATAATTATGAAGAATCTTTTCTGATATTTTTTTTTCTGTACTTTTTCTCTACTTGAAGCTCACTTATCTGGTTTGCGTTCGTTTTCTGTCCAGGTTTTATCCAAACTGTTGGAAGTCCTTCAGAATCGTTTCAGGTTGGGGGGGCTGATGTTCATGCTGAGGCCCCACTTTACCTCCAACAACGTCAAGAAGAAAAACTAGCATCACTACATTGTAATTATTTTATTTCCACCCTCCTCCTTTGTGTCTCTCTCTATCTCTCTCTCTCTGTGAGAACAATTTTTCAAATGGAGTGTAAATTGTTTTTTCTTTTGGGCTCTAGATGAAGGTCTGTATTATAGTGTAGTGAGTGGGACTGACAGATATATATACACACACATATATATATATATAGATATAGTTGATTTGAAGGGGCCATGAATTTGTCGCTCCTCATCGTCGCAGGTGCATGGTTACCTGTTGACGCTGACGAGTACCAACACATAAGGACCACATCCACAGAAGTTCCTTTTTGACGCTCGGAAATACGCATCATGAACCAAAGTTTACAGCTGAACTTTAGACACTGACTTTTTTTTTTTTTTGCAGGATCTGATATTAGCTCAAATTGTTGTGTAACACTATTGTACAAAGTTGCAGTAAGTTCTACCTGTAGTTAACGCCTCGTGACCTGCATGTGTGTAGACACCCCGGCCTGGAGACAAGTGAATTCTAATTGGAAACCATACAGTTGCAACTCCTGACTTAGGGTAGCTCAGACAGAGGCTGTTGTGGCGCCCCCTGTAGGCGGGAGACCAAACATTCAACTTGACATTGAGAAATGCTGCTTTCTTTTTTAAATGCACAGTTATGTTGAAATTTGAACAAATGTAAACAGCACAAAGGCCTTTGATCAGTTGCCAATAGTTGGCGCTATTTAGTGCTTCTTGGCACACTCGTTTAAACAGAGGTAAACCTGGGCATAATTAGTCTTTTTTTTTTAACCCTTATTGTCATTAAGAGGTTAATTATTTTTGAACAAAATTGGGTTTTTTCCCTCTTACTTTTCGATTCAGTCATCTCAACTCCATAACAACCATAAACTGACAAACTTTATCAACAGAACTGGGCGCTGTTTTTCCTGTGTTGCGATTTTTTTTAATTTTTTTTTTTGGTTTTTTCTTTCCATGTTCCTGAAATTTGCATTTTTTTCGCTCAGTGAACAGACATCACATTTGTTCAATATCCTGATATTTCCCTAATGTAAAAATGTTCAAAATATTTGTTTTACATATTTTATGGGTAAACATGACAATGTAATGTGAATTGAGCCCCTTTTTATTACATTCATATTTAAGAAATTTTTAATGTGTTTTTACGCATTCATTCCTCTTCTTTTCTTTTTTTTTTTTCTTTTTTGTCGTATTACACATTTTAAGGCTTTGCCTCATGTTGCACAGTTTGTCAATCACTAAAAACAAATTCAAACCTCAATCTTCATACAAACCTCTAGGGGGCCTCGTTTTCAAAAAGACTGAAAAATTCCAATCCTGACTTTCTGGTTGTAGCATTCTTAGCATTTAACGTCATATTGTAGAGCAGATTTGTTTTTGACGGTTTCGTTCTGTACAGTGGCATCTCTCAGACTATCACAAATACAAAGGGCATGTGTCCGAACCTATACATATATAAATACAACTTTTCTAGAGCTTTTTTTTAGCAGGAAGAGGAGCGGCTTCTTAGTCGTTCAACTCTCTAATGTAAAGGAATGCTAAAATGATTCTTTTTTTGTGGATATGTCAAATGTAATTCCTGTCTTTTCCCATATATAAAGTATGTGATTTGTAAATTTGATCTATCACGGCAAGCGATATGACACTGTCCCCTGCTGGCGAAGGATGTTTATATTTTTTGTCATCTGTTGCGTTTTAAAATAACTTTTATTTTTAGTACACAACATTGAAAGCCAAACGTCTACAACACTTAGTAATGTCTATTTCTATGTACATGTAATTTATTTTACTCTTAATTTTCTTTATTTGCATATGTCTGAAAATTATAATTAAAGAGTTACGTTTTTTTTGTTTTTGTTTTGTGGATAAGTCTCAGCACAGAACCGTTACATCGACTTTAATAACTGTACTCGCTGTAAACAACTCGTGTACACAGGTCCTGCGTAAAACTATGCCTAAATCGTAGGGATAACTTTCATTCGGAAATCTTCAGAAGTGATTAAAAGCCTCTAATAATTAATAAAAAATAACTAATAACGTTAGCCAAACTTAGCTGTTAGGCTAAGTTAGGCAGAATATTTAAAATTGTCCTTCAAACATCTAAAGAAAAAATTAGCCTTAGCAACACAGTGTAAGTACAGGTAATCAAACATTTGGAAAATGGCGGACAAAAATATTTTTTTCAAAAGAGGAAAACGTAGCTGAACAGCTAAAAGTTGTGACAGGTTAAAAACAAATAGCCAGTTCAAATGTAGCTCTATTTCTGAGAAGGTACGAGCTCATCGATGTCTCCGTTCTTCTCCAGTATCTTTTCCATGTTTACGAGAAGTTTGACGCCGTCCACCACCAGCTGAGTCAGCGCTACCTCGCTCTCACCGAAGGTCCCTGCGTTGCTCACTGTGTACACTCCCGTCGACTCTGGAAGGAACAAAAATCACATGATAACTTCAACTTCACTGTTTACTACAACTTGGATGAAGAGTCCATCAAAAGTAGAGAGTGTTTGGGCAAAATTAGCAGAAAAAAACCCTAAGTATTTCCAATGATATTCAGCCATCACCTCTCCCTAAAGTTCTAATTAACAATTTTATTTTTGTTTTTAAAGGACTCTAACGAATTAAAAAAAATAGACAGGAATGTATCAACCTCTATGTACTGTATTGTAAAATTATTTATTCTCTCTTTAAACTATATAGTGAGCTGTAGAGAGGCTACAGTTAGCACAACAATGCTAGAATATAGTCATCAATAATTAAATGCTCTTATGTTCGTCATGTCCGTTAAACACGTCAATTCACTACAAATTGCCAAGAAAAGGTTTAGAGACAGTAGAACATAGATATAAAGACAAAAAAAAGTTGTAAGCAAAGATATACCGAGAGGTTCTCACAGAACTCGCCCTCTTTAGCTTAACTACATAGGAACTGCAGTACCTGTGGAGACCATGTGGAGGCGCAGTCTAATCAGGACGTCCTGCAGGCGGCGCTGAGTGGGTAGTAGTTTCAATCTCAGTTTGATTCGAACCCTAAAACCAGTTCCTACTTCAGTGGGAGAGCTGCTCAGCCAGCCCAGCTGCTGCTTCCAGATAAAAGGGTGTCTCAGCTGGCTGTAGATCACCCCCAACTGGCCAAAACAGGAATAACATCAATCAGCTGATAACGGTTTAACATCCGTTGGTATATTGTACACGTTGTTTGAATCTGTAGGACCTTCTGCAGTTTAGCAAAGATGAATTTAAAAGCCTCAGCCACATCAGCATCGTGTCGTGTGGTCACCAGTTTAAGGTGGTCTTCTATATTGATCCAGACCACCAGGCTGTTGTCGTCACTCAACCTGCACAAAAACATGTGATTAAAAAACGTTTGTTTGTTTTTTTTTTTCAACCCTAACTGTCACTGACCAAACAGCCCTGGCATCGGGCCAGTCACGAGCTGCGCCGGTGCGGAGCTGAAACTGTGACGGTGGACTCAGCTTCAGAGCGCACTGTTGCTCCTGGTCCAGGTCCTTCAGTAGGTGTAGTTGACCAGGGAGGTCCTCCTCCCCAAACCGCTGCAGCGCTGCCGCAAAAAAAGAAAGACAGAAACTGCCTGCATTTTTATTACTATTTAATTGTTTGATTGTTTTTGGATACTTTTGTGACTGAGCGGTTTTTTTTTCTAATTAAAAGGTATGTGAACATGCAATACCCCTCTTGGCCAGTTGAAGGAGCTGCCTGCGCTCTCCTCTACTGCAGTGAATTGGGAAGCAGTAGTCCTCCACGCTACGAACAATTGTCATTTCACAACCTAGGACGTATGACCTGTCCAGGTCTTCGCTGCCCTGCAGGACCAAGCACGAGTGACTTCCTTCAACTTGGGTGACGTCACATTTTATGACGACTCATCAGACATTTACACTGACAAACAACAAACAAATACGTCCAACCTACTTTCAGGTTAGAGTGGTTGAAGTCGCTGTTGGGCGTCTGACTGTCCACCTTGTGTTTGTGGTACGCTTCAATGACCCGGTCAAAGAAGTCGCAGAACAGGATGTAGGACTGAGCATCGCCCGCCACACACCCGGCGGACACCGGGCCACAGCGCTCACCTTCGTACACACCGAGTGAAGAAATAAGAAAGATTTTACAACATGAAGTGACTGCGCATGCTAACAAACTTCACTGCTTACGTTAAATGTAAGCAATATATTATATTTTCATATTTCTGCTGTAGTTTTTAATGTAAAGAAAAATAAATCACAACATTACAAATTTTATAACAAAAGCAGTTTTGTAACGGTCATTTTACGATTTTCTTTCTAAATGAAAATGTAAAATGTTCTTATTATAATGCTAATAAGTAATTTTTTTTATTGAACTTTTTCTTTACACCAGTGTGACGTCACCTGGTTCCTCCAGGCCAGGGCGTATGACATCATCAAAGATAACGCCACTGTCGGTGCATCGGTGGAACTGTCGGCGGTACATGGCCGGGGTGAGGATCTGCCCCATCAGGGTGGCGTTTCTGCGCAGGTCAGGAAACTCTTCGTCTGGGGAACGTCTGTTCAGGTGGAACCGAGCCATTGGGTCAGGGGGAACCAAACTCTGGACACACAGCAAAATAAATAAATAAATAAAAGTAGCTGATGACGATAATTCAGGGGAATTCTTCTTAGCGTCACATTAAGATAATCTTTGTCTGATTGGCTCTGATTTGGTCTTTATCTAAATTTCAGATAAAATTCGAAATTGAATTTTGTCTTTTAGATTTCTTTCTTCCTTAATGTGGATTTACATTTCAGATACATTTGTGTGAAAACATGATATTATTACCTCTAAAACTGGTCTGTACTTCATTTCCAAAGGGAACAAAACAGTAGCTGTGGGGAAAAAAGCAAAACATTCATTATGAATACAATTTCACTCCTGTGTTTAAGATTTGGCAAAATATTAGCCTTGAATATTATATATAAAGAAACAATGTATCACAGAATATTCCAGAAACAACACTGAGACCAATCACATTAGCCATCACACTGAATCAGTTTCCTGTCCTTTCTTTTTTTTTTTTTTTTTACAAAAGCGTTAAGACCAGTTTGACCACACTCACGTTTGACCTTCCACATGTCGGGGGAGCGATGGCGGCCGTCAGAATAAGAGCCCAGAATAGCGTTGGTCTTTGTGTCTGCATTAGTTTTTGATTCCAGCGGGAGTCACATTACAGTCCAGACAAAGAGGAGCTTTTTATATCTGATTGTGACATCACCGCCGTTAAAAGAGTCAAAAACAAAGAAGAAGAGGAAAACATAGAAATATACATCAGTAAAAGTTTTGATGAAACTTTTAAGGGTATATTGTGCAGGTTTGCCTTAAGAATTATAGGACTATAGGACCATACAAAATGGTGTTTTGGTTTTAGTTATTAATTCTTTGAATTTACTACTTTTTCTTTATGTTGAAAGTAGTAGAGATCCTCATAAATGTATATATTTTAGGGCTCGGATTTTAATACCTTTATCTTGATAGATAATGCAACTTCTTAAGTTATTTTCTTGTAATACCAACAACACACCTGTAGGGGGCTGTAATGCACTTTTGTTTTTCACCTCTGGAAAAAATACATTGAATGCATTTAGTGACGTCGGTGCACAAGAAAGTTTTGCTCAGTGGTGAGGACAGACAAGAGACCACATCGTCTTTGTGTGTGTGTTTTCTTGTTCTGTGACCCGTTGTGTCCCACAATACTTTCTGGCATCTTTTCTCATCTTACTGTATTCTCAGTATTCTCTGTGTCTCTTACTTTAAATACAGTATTGTGTGTGTGTGCCCCGTTTTTGACGATTTTCTTTTTTTTATTATTTACAATTTGAAACAATTAAAAAAAATACAAACAAGGACAAACACTTTTTGGCCAAAAATACTTTTTAAAACCTAACATAACAGACCAAAACTTCAATAAATTGCAGTAAAAAAAGACACCTGAACAAAAAAAGGGTTGCATTGAGCGAAGCTTTAATCGGAAAAAAAACCATTACAGCTTTAAATGGTTAACAATGATTTAAGGCGTTTCCAAAGTTCTGATACATAGCCAGCAGAGGGCGGAAGAAAACAGAAAACTACTTTTGGAGACAGGGACAATTAGGGGACTGGTCATCTGCTGCTTACTGTGGTTACTGCAGTAAAAAAAACTCCAACGTCACAGGAACGTTTTGACCTTTTAAACTTGTGTGACATTAATTGGCCACAAGAGGCAGTAGATGATCAATAGCTCCTGTGTCCCTGCAACATTCAAAAGGAGTTTACTTTAAAGCTGTGCGTTGCATTCTTGTTGAACTTATGCATGTTCTCAGATTTGTGTCTTTCAAGACATTTTCATCTGACTCTAACCTGAAATGCAAAATGTGTCAATCCCGTTTTTGTTAAAGCACTTAACACACGTGTTATTATTACAGCGGAATATGTTTCTGCGACCAATTCTTTTGGCTACCTGCTTAAGGGCATTTTTCTGGTCTTCTTCAGTAAACTGAAACACTTTCCCTTGAGCATTTTGATTGTTAGGATTTGGCTGGAATACGTCGGAAAACACAAAAGCAAATCTGGACCACTTTTTCAACTTTGCGATTTCTCCCAGGATGTTTCCAGGATGTTTGGGGTCTGCGCATTTTGTGGCACACGGTGATGCTTTAACATAGAAAAGAATCCAATCTCTATTTAATTGGTTTTGGTTATACCAACTGCGCAAGAGGTTGGCCACACGTGCCTCAGCATGATCGGTTGTCCATTCATTTGGACGAGGTCTGGCCGCCATCACCCTATCACTTACAAACACCCTGTCCTGTTGGAATACTCTCTTTACATTGTTGACACTGTCAAGACCTTGAAAAAATGAACTTGGGTCTTCGTTGTTGTTGGGGCCCTGAATTCTCAGAGCCATACTGTACATGTTGTTCAGTGGATACCTGGTGTAAAGAAGAAAGAACCGATCCGTGAGATTCAGCACAGAGATAGAACCAGTGTGAACATGTACTGTAGGTCATGAACAAGTGAGGAAAAAACTCAGCTGATATCAAAGTTATGTTCGTAAAGATACTGTGTCCCCTGTGTTATTTTAGGACAGTCCATGATCTCCATCGTTTAGATCAAATCTAAGTCTTAAGGATGATGACGTGGTCCACTCACTTGGTTTTCATGGCCTTATAATACTTGAAGACTTTCTGAGGATCCATTGCAGCAGAGGCATCAGTCCACACAAGGACAAGCAGGGAGGCAGTCAACCAAACCATAGTATTGGCCATTTTCTAAAGAAAACACACAGTAAATAAAAACACTGAACATTGTCATTATCATCTTGAATGTTAAAGTAAGTTGAAGCAATATTTACCTCCGATGTCTGAGAGTTTTGAATGCTGGTCATGGTTTGGTGTTCGTCTAAAGATGAGGATGATGTCGATGACGATGACGACGATTCTCTCGAAGTCTGTTCACGATCATAAGGCTGGTTTTATTTATACCAAAGTAGGGACGTTTACTTTGTCCTTTTATGGAGATACTTCAAGAAATAAGGAAGCTGTTTCAATTTAGGAAGTAAACAAAAAGGGTAGCGCGTTGGGTTTTTGTTATCTTCTTATCTTTTTGGGGTGAAGTGCTCAGTTTGAGTCTTTGACATAAAAAGGAAGTATTAAAGATAAGCTTTCAGCTGATATTATAATGCAATTTCTTTAATGTCCCTGGAAATGCTGCTAAATATAAAATATATTTAATAACACATTGTATACTGTCTCGCACCAACACAATGAAACTGTAGGGCAGGGATTCCCAAATGGTGAGAAGCTAAGAAAGAAATGTGATGGCTGTCATTTCCTTTGTAAAATCTAAAATAAAAAGTAGGGATGTCCGATAAAATCTGCCGACCGATATTATTGGACCTATATTAGCATAATTATGTAATATCTGTAAGAGTTCGTTATCAGACTGTATGTACAACGCTGGTCCCAGCAACTCAGTGGTTTGTGCAGATAAATAAATAAATAAATATTACCAGGCGCTCGATAGTATTTCGATCTGTGTGTGGGTGGAAAAAAAACGAATTGAGAAAATAATTGAGAAACACTACTTTAATCCTTTAACCCTCAGTGGGTACGGGGCACCTTAGCTCCTTAACCACCAGGC